GTGCTAGGCGAAATCGCCGCGTTTGGTTCATACCAAATGAACCACGTGTGGATGGTGACCCTGAAGACGTCGTTGGCCAAGAAAAAGCTGTTGAGCGCCGCAACCTTTGAAGTCAAAGGAAAGCGCTGCGTCGTCATCGACCCGGAAAAATCTGAGGTGAGGCTGAAGCTGCACTGGTTGCCCTTCCACCTGCCTGACGACGTTGTGAAAAAGAACCTGGAACCGTACGGCAAGGTGGAGGAAGTCGGCAGAGAAGCCTGGCGCGTCGAGGGTTTTGAGGGCGTGCAGTCGACAACAAGAGTCGTGAGGCTGACCCTAAAGGAAGGCGTCACGCTCGAGAAGCTGCCGCACCAACTCCGGCTCCCAGGATGCACGGCCCTGGTGCTGGCCCCGGGTAGAGCCCCGCTCTGCCTTAGGTGCCGTCAAACCGGCCACATCCGTAGAGAGTGCCGTGTGCTACGATGCGACAGCTGCCGGCGCTTCGGCCACCTACGCGACGACTGCAGGAAGACCTACGCAGACGTGACCAATGGCGGCACCGCAGACGACACTTCAGAGCTCATCATGGACCAAGATGAAGCTGAGGAGGCGGCAGGAGGAAGAATGGAGGGCGGCCAACCTCAGGGGCGGCGAGACCTCGGTTGGTGGGGCAGACGCCCCACCAACCGAGGTCTCGGCCACGGTGGAGCTTCCAGCAGACGCCACGGACGTTCCTGAGCCAGGAGACAACGACGTCGCACGCGGCCCGGCCCTTCAGGGAGACGACTGTGACCACGACTACGCCCTCCGCAAGCCGACCCTGGCTGCCAGCCAAGGGCAAGACGACCCGGTGGACGGCGAGATGGACACTATGAGCGGTTCTGCCAAGCGTCCCCTGGAACCAACACCAACCCAGGACCCGGGTCAACCTGGAAACCTGCAGGAGTCGCCGCTCCACAAGTGGCAGACGGGGACATCCAAGAGAGGCCGGCGCCACGCCGCCGCTCAGGGACCACGGGAGGACCCCGCAGGTCCCACAGTGAAGAAACTGTAACCACTGAACCTGAACCATATTTTTTAGGTAAATTTCAAGTAAGAGTGTTGTACTTTCGTCATCATATAACGATTTGGCTTAGCGGCTTTTTGTGTTGTAGCCTCGCCGACTGTCTGTAGTTGCACCGCAATGGCTCTTAGATTCGCCACTTTAAACGTCCGAGGGTTGTCCTCGTTGAAAAAGCAATACCAGCTGCAACGACTAGTAGAAGACGAGCAACTGGACTTTTTTGCGGTACAAGAAACCAAAATGCAGACAGACGATAATATCGAGAGAGCGCTCAATCCTTATCTTAGGAGATACGAAATAGCTGTAAGTCATGCTGTGGGGCGGTCAGGGGGGTGTTTTGTCTTTTTAAAGAAGGCCGTGAATTGTGAAAGTGTGCAGGTAGTTATTGACGCATGTGGTCGTTTTATTTCTTGTGATTTTGTGCTGTCAGGAGTGCAGTGGCGAGTCATTTGCGTCTATGCACCCAACAATGCAAGAGATAGGGAAATTTTTTTTTCAGTTTTTGCGTAATTACGTAGAATGTGACAGGGTTGTTGTTTTGATGGGGGACTTTAACTGTGTATGTGAAGATAGGGATAGGTCTGCTCTTACACCGTACAGTGACAGCAGTGCAAGCTTTTTAAAAAGAATTGTTGATGAGTGTGCGCTCGAGGATGTGGGAGCCGTATACGCTGGAAGGGAGGGAGTCAGTTTCACTCATTTTCAAAATAGTTCGCACGCCCGACTAGACCGCATCTACGTCTCAGCAGACGCACTTAGACAAGCGCATAGATACCGTGTGCGGCCAATCTTCTTTACCGATCATTGCCTTGTAAGTGTTCAAATTGGAAGGAAAGAAAGTAAAAACCCAATTTAACTGGGAGCTTTGGAAATTAAACCGGTCGCTTTTAAATGACGAACGTTTCGTTGCTACAGTTAGCGAACACTTGCGGGCTATCACCGTAAAAAGACCTTGTATAAGCGCAGCTTGGGAAGAGTTTAAGCGAGACATAAAGTTAGCTGCGATTGAAAGGGCAAGCAATATCAGATTTCAGAGTCGAGCCCGTGAAAGACAGTTGAGAAGAGACCTGGAGGCACTCTGTCAAGTGGAATGTGAACGACCCGGCTCAAGTAGCGAGGACATCCGAAATGTTAAACTAGAGCTGGAAAAACTGTACCTCGAGAAATACAAAGGGGCAGTCGTCCGCGCTCGCGCGGAAAAGTTTTTGCTGGGGGAGATGCCAACGAAACGAGCTCTGGCTGAGGAAAAGAAGTATGCCTTGACACGCGAGATTAGGGAAATAGAGTATAAAGGGAAAGTCAGTAAGGACAAAAATACGATCGAAGTTGCTTTTGTTGAGCACTTCGAGCAACTTTTCGGGGAAAAACCGACCCCAGTAGGAATTTCTAAATTCAATGAGTTCTTGTCAGTTATGCCGAAGCTGAATGATGAAGTAAAAATTTGGCTTGAGGGGGAGATCACCCTAGAAGAAATTCGGCGAGCCATAGACTCGTTAGCGAGACAGAAAACACCCGGACCTGATGGGCTTTGTGCCGAATTTTATCAGACATTTAAAGAAGCCATTAGCCCAGTATTGTGAGCGTATTTTAACGAATCATATGAAAACCACTCTTTACCACTTTCATTTGCGGAAGCCCATACTGTCTTGATTCCGAAGTCGGAAGATAAAGTTAAAAAACTTAGCGTCACGGGGTATAGGCCCATTACGTTATGTAATATAGATTATAAAATTTTCACGAAAATCATAACGCGCAGACTTCAGAGTGTTATTGGAACGCTCATCGGGGATCATCAGACATGTGGGATAAGAGGAAGGTCTATTCAAACTAATATTCATGTAGCGAGAAGTATTTTTGAAACTGTGGGTAGGGGTAGAGTAGCAATGGTTCAATTAGATTTGGAGAAAGCTTTTGACAAAGTCAGACACGATGTCATAAAGAGTATTTTAGCGTTTGTTAACGTAGGTGAACTGATTCAAAAGGGAGTGGAAATGGCGTACAAGGGCTGCACCACCAGGCTTGTTATAAATAATAATGTTTCTAAGAAAATCCCGGTACTTTCATCTGTCAGACAGGGCTGTGCCCTTTCGCCTTTATTGTTTGCCTTGTACCTGGAACCTTTTTGTCTGAGTGTAATTGCTAATAGGAATATTCACGGGTTTCTTTTAAATAGCGTCGAGGTTAAAGTGTCTGCGTACGCTGATGATGTTGCCGTTTTTTGTAGCGACGAAGAGAGCGTCATGGAAATTGTTATGCTCACCAAAGAATTTTGTAACGCTACGGGAGCCGCGGTGAACTGGGGGAAATGTTGCGGAGTGTGGCATGGCAGGTGGGATTTAAAGCCTCGTTATTTTGCAGGCATTAATTGGGAAGAAGGACCATGTAAGTACCTTGGGGTGCCCTTGGAGTGCTACAAAGGTATACCACGGGGTACTGGGCGGGAGTGGCAAAAGACTTAAAGGTGAAAGCGGACACCTGGGTTAATCGAAACCTGTCGATATTTGCGCGTGCCACAGTCTGCAATATTTTTTTGATCGCCAAACTATGGTATATAATGCAAGCTTTAACATGTTCTAGGATGAACATCCAGAAATTTCACAGGGTGTTCGCCACTTTCATCTGGAAGTCCGGATGGGAGAGGATGAAGAGGGATAACCTTTTCCGAAGCGTCAAGTCAGGCGGTCTTGGCCTCTCGCACCTTTTCGTCCGGAAGCTCGTGTCGCGCTTCTTCTTCTTGCGCGATCAGAACCATCCATTTTTGCGCACCATAATCCAGATGAGACTGGCGAACTCCCTGACCACAATGTTGGTTACAAGCAAATGTACCGAACCCGCTGGTCTTTCAGGGTTTTTAAAAGAGGTCCAAGATGCTGTATTATTTTTACAAGCCCGGTTTTCCATGGAATACCTTGGTAAAGTCACGAAAAAGAAACTAAGGCAGGATCTGGTCGAGATACTTTTTCCTGCTCCATTGTACCGCTCACTGTATACACGTTTGCAAGTCCGGTCTCGGGGCGCCGCCATCTTCCTCAGTGGGGTGCGCTCTCGTGAGCGGCCATAATCCGATTACGACGCCTTAGCAAGGCTTCGTGATCGGATTATGACTGGTCCAAGCGCACCCCAGACAGGCAAGATGGCGGCGCCCTGAAGCCGGACTTGCAAACGTGTATAGCCACTGTCCCGGGCAAGACGTGCTCCGTCGTGTAAAACGGATGTGCGTCCCACCGGCAGTCAAGTCCGTTTTCTTCAAGTTGCATAGCGAGACATTGCCTGTCAAACCCTGGCTCAGAGACAGAGGTATCTTCGTCCCGTGGTCCGTGGATTGCCTCCTATGTAAGACGCCGGAAAGTATCGACCATGTCTTTATTTACTGTTGGGACGCCGTGTTTTTTTGGGACATCCTGCAAAGGACCCTAAAAAAAGATTTTTTGTTGTCCCCGGCGACGATTCGATACTTGCCGGTCGAAGAGAGTGAGTCGGTGCCTTACGACCTTTTCATTGTCCTTGGCTTGTTTTGTATATGGAAAACCAGAATGGAATTCCGGCATGCTGACCCCGGAATTAAATCGGTGCATAAACATTTCATTGAAATTGTCAGCGAGGTCCAGTCGGTGTACTGTAGGACTCCAGAGTCTTCGCCAGAGTGGGCTCACTTGTTTGATGAGATCAAAAATATGAAGGAACTATAGTTCGCCCGCAAGTGGTTGGGCAAAAATGTATTTTATGACATAGCACCTTGTGCTGCAACCTGAGTTCAATAAAGAAAAAAAAAAAAGTATGTATGATCTCTATGGTGCATCCAAACAAAATTTTAAGTATTACTTTTATTTTACCTTAATTTTTTTGTTTCCTTTTATAAGGAATTGAGTTGGCGCCATGTTGTCACTTTCAGATTTTCATTTGGTTACACATTTTTCTCACATTTCGCCAAATTTTGACACATAAAATTTCAGACTGAAACTGCTTCTAGCAACCCTGGACAAAGTTGCGCATGCGCTTTTGCTCTCTCCCAGGCTTAGCCCTTTTTCCCGGATTGCCGTGCTTCTTCGGGTTCTTACTGGCATTACTGGTGCGTATGTTCTTTAGCTCATCTCGTAGGTATTCATTTTCCAGACGTTGTTACTTTAGGGAGTTGTTTAATTGCGTTGCGGAGGTACGTAGAATTGGCACTTCATCACAACACAGACAGTCCGGCGCCCAGAAGGAACCGGTCCTGTTGATCACCGCCTGCCGACTTCGTCCATTCAACTCTCATCCACGTGTGACAGTACGGAAAATAAGTGCTCAAAAACGTTATGAGGCACACTGTTTCCTGGCAAACTATCGTGGACGGACAACACTTTGAAAGTGGAGTAGTTACAGAGACGAAATTTGAGTTGCCTGAAGAGGTCTAGGCTTGACCGGACTTTCCTGAGTCGTTCAAAAGCTGTCATCGCTCTCTGGTTTGACTCGTACCTCCTAATCCTCCGTTCCCTTTCAAGTTTGAACTACGAATTGGAGCCATCGTATCAGTGATCCGATTGCCATCTTACGTTAGTTGTCCACGATGACGACCCAAGGAAACAGCTGCAATATGGCACCATACTCTATTTTGGATCCGTTCTGCTTTGCATACAGCAGTTACACTAACCACCGAGCTCACGTATTGTTAAGTCAACATTTGTAGACAGGCATCAACATTCCGTCCGCTGTAGAATATGCCGGACAGTTTCAGCTCCATCACTGAGTCAGCAAAATATTTCGTAGATATTTATATTTCAGTGGTCGATGTGATGTAGTCAAATTTCAAAGTGTAGCTTCTTGTGAAAAAGAGAAAGAGGTCGAATTTTTTCTTTTTGACCAAGGTGAGGTTTGTGAAATGGCCATATTCACAGCTATAATCTACGCAGGTGGGTCCTGCGGAATCCTGGTTTCGTCCACATTTTATACCAAGCTACAGACATCATTATTTGAGATGCAATGAATATACACGTTATATGAGCCAGAAACTGTACGAACTTTGACACAAAATTTAAACTCTCCCCATAAAAAAAAAAGGAAAGTGACAGGTTATTTTTATTACAATTTTATTAAAAATAATAAACCTTGCATGCTTTGGACCAGCTTGTATGCTTTACCTTCTTTGTTGTGCCAAGGCTGTTACTCTCAACATGGGCATGCATTCATAGAGTAACAGATTTTATATCCTAGTCTGTTTTGCTTGGAACATAAGTGGCCGATTCTGATTCTGACCAATAGCTCCTCATTTAATGTTGCTTCCACTACAATTATTTTAGGGGCACAGTCAACTATAGTCGGGGACAGGTTAAGAATGCAGACAATGCACAGACTCCACTACGAGCTCACGGTCTTTGATAACACGGTCGCACTTGCAGCTAAATTCTGGCGGAGGGCAACAAGTGCACTCTGGAGGCGAAGCTCCTAGTGCATTCATAGCCCGTCACCGACTGCAGCTAGGAGTTTTTCTGAAAACGTCGTCAGTGACAGTTCATGAGCTAAAGAAGCCTGAATTTTCATCTATGAAAGGATCCCTTTTTAACAGAAAATTAAGTAATTGCTTCCTCTTCCACCAAGACAAAATCCAAAAGAGAATCTGCTTCACATCTGAGGGGTTGTGGGTCTTCGAAGTGTCACATACTAAACAGAATATGCAGGGCTACCTGTGCATTTCTCTTAAGAAAGGTGCACATGTAGCCACTTTGCATGAATGCTGTTTATAGTATTTTAAGGCCTTCATAATGGTGTGAATAACCCTTTCCTTCTTTGGCCCCAGGTAATCGCCCACCATGAGCCGTTTCTTTGCCACCGGTTCGGACTCCGAGTCTGAATCGGAGTCGTCGGAGGAGGAGCAGATTCCGCAGAAGGCAGTCGCCGTCACATCGTAAGTTTGCGTGCGGAAGCTACACATTGAAATTGTAAACAGACGTACAAACTCGGTTCTTTGAAGGGATAGCAATTTTCTTAGTGCCCCCCTCCCAGCCTGTGAGGGAATTGCAGGAGTGAAAGAGGAAAACAAGAATTGACTGTGGTTCGGTTGGGCAGCTATACTTTCCGAGATTGAAAATTGTGATTCTTGGAGTGTAGACAAGTCTTTACCGTTACATACTGTCGAATGCTGAGCATGCGTCTAAGCTAGTGCTACCGCCTGCCCTCTATTTTTTTTTTTAATGAAAAACAGGGCGAAGCACAAGGACACATAGAAGAGAAATACATACAATGTATGTATTTCTTTCCTCTGTTACCTTGTATTTCATGCTGTTTTTCATCATGAACGCTTACCAACTAGCCCAAATGTCCATTCTTGTAAGCTCTATTTTTTCTTGGGAGAAGAGACGACACAACCACGTCGGAAAGATGTGGTTGTGTTGTCCCAGAGTTAATTGTTTATTCTTTCTTCATCCATCACTCCTCTGTTTTGTTTTGTAGACTTTGGCATTGGCTAGGTACTATAAAGTATATATACAATTGACCCCCAAGTTTTGGCATAATTATATTATTTTGGATAGGTGCTTGCCTGCTATTTGACAGTAGAGCATCAATTCTTGGCCAGCTTTCTCAGTGTTGCAAAGGAATGACATTGTAGAGAAAGGAAAGAACAAAGCTGTAAAATAATTTTAATTCAGGTTGTTAATTTTTGTGATGTGACAGGCATTGTTTACATATGTTTTTACTCTAGGAATAATGAAACCGATTCTCAATGAATGGCAAGCTGAATGAAGCTTCCTCAGAGTGAACAGCTATAACTGAACAATAGGGCTTTCCTTTGGGGCATTTTGTGCTGCAGTAAATAGAAAGAAACCTTTTTTCTTGGCACTTCCATGTTTACAAGAGCCAGAAGTGTGTTTTTATAAGCATAAGTAGATAGGCCAACTGCAAAGCGCTCCTTTTGCTCTAGCATGATCCGTCTGATTGTCTCGCAGGGCGTATGCCTTCAGCGACGATGAAGAAGAGACGAAGCGGGTGGTCCGCAGCACCCGTGAGAAAAGGTGAGCTTCCCTTTGCATCTGTCTTCTACACGTTGGGATTAAAACTTCTTCTTAGGTTCTGGCACAAGACCCCAGGAACAATATTTCACCTTTTTAGGTTTCACGAATGAGCATTTATTTGGTGGCATTGGAACATGTTTGTTGTAAACTGTTTTTACTGCCTCTCAGTCGTACACTGTAATTCACTCCTGTGACATAGTGTGGCTCTAACTGGCTACTTGAAAGCATTATTAAGGATGGAGAGAGATATAATAGACATTGTAATATGAGGGAATTACAGATACACTTGGCAGTAATATCAGAGCCTTTTGCTAGTGCATAGTAAAGAATGGAAGCTTTAAATATACAGGGTGTCTTTTTCTTGCGCTTAACCGATTTGTTCAAAAAAAAAAGAAAAGCCGTGAAAGCTACACTTGCGTGGTTTGTGCAGGTGAGCTATATGGCCATGGGGACATAGTATGGGGGCTAACCGTAACGATTATTCAGCTAATTAGGTAATTTTGTTAATTAACATTTTATTTATGTAAAGTAAACATGGTTCCAATTAGAAACTTGCTGAGCATCATTGAAAACCACAAAATCAATAATTTTTATAAATACTTTGAGTGCATGGGAGGCGTAGTAGTGCGCTAAAGGTACTGCTCGTGCAATAGGTTCAAGCTATAATAAGAGACGGAAAAATCTCAAGGGCGCATTATGGCACCAGTAACCTTGCTCCTGCTGCAGGAGTTGTAACTTGAGTGCACTACTGCGCTTCTCACGTGCTCAGTTTCTAAAATCATTTAGTGGTTTTCGTTGATGCTCAGCAAGTTTCTAATTGAACCAGATGTCTATTTTCACGAATTAAAGAGTAAATTAACAAATTTTACTTAACTAGCCAGCTCATCATTACGATTATCCCCCTAGACCATGTCCCCCTGGCCGTATAACTCACCCGCGCAAACCATATAAGTGTAGCTTTTACAGCTTTTTTTAAACAAATACGTTAAACTAAAAAAAAACAAAAAACAAAAGAACACCCTGTAGATAGGTCGGTCATTTTTAAACTTGTATTTTCTAAAATCAAAGTAGTTTTTTTTTATTTTTTTTTAAGATTAGTGGTGTTTAAGTTGTTTTTCTCGTATCAGGTTTTGATTGCTTGGTTCTCAGAGCCGGTAGACATCTGAAGTTGCTAAATTCACTCGCATATAGACTAGCACGCGGCTCTGACGTCATGCAGCTGCGGTGGTGCTGTCGACGGCACTGCGCATAGGGAGACACTTCATTTCCCGTGAATCCGGTTTCTGCGCACGCGCAGTGCCCACACCCGGTGTGGGCAAACACCGGTTTGTTTGTAAACAGCGCGCCGATCTATAAGGTGTCACAAATAATGCCATGCTTTTTGTTCTGTTATTTTTAGATATTTGTAGTTAGTTTCTCGATGCCAAGCCCCCTCATTTTTAAAGAGTGTCACCATTTTTTACCTTGCAAGGTATTGTAACTGCATAGATTTTTTTTCCTTTTGACAGGTGTATTTTTTTTTTTCAATTGAGAGCTACAAGGAAAGAGAGATGATGTGATGTTAGGACTATTTCATCTTCATCTGGTGTGTTTTTTTTTTGGGGGGGGGGGGGGGGGGGGGGTGTGCAACTCGGGCTCTATCCCAAAATGTCTAATTACTGCTTGCAGCTGGTTGATGTGTTTTCTATGTCAGAGTTGAATAGAGATATCTGTTTCTCGCAGGTATGAAGAGATTACGGAGATAATCAAACAAATCAAGAACCACAAGAAAATAAAAGACATGAGCAAGCTCTTAACAAGTAAGTGCTCTCTCAAATTCAAAGTTATTGTGCCGGCAAGCTGGCAAACGATTGTACTAGAAAACACCCAAAGACAAGGGAACAAAAAAGGAGACAACCATGACATTGAATGTGCATTATGCTTTCATGCCTTATGCAGCCATCTGGAATCTTCTGGCATGGTCCAACTAATAGATCATGCACACTCAGTCTAACTGGTATACAGTGTTACAGATGGTTGAGACGCCCAACTAGGCTCGACTAGCTTGTCGAATCAGTGTGCAGTGCGCATCATGTCGAGCTTTGTTCGAGGAGTGTTCTTTTCCTCCGAGTAATATTGTGGACCATCGTAACTGGGTATTTGCATGTGCAACCATCTAAAAAAATATTACCTTCTTTCATTTTCTTTATTTATCTAGAAAATTACTTTTCTATATTCCAACCACCGCCACAACTGAACACCGCAAAAAGCGTTTGGTATGCAAGAACTGCGAACCCGTGCTCTAAATTGCCTGACCTCTTTTGCATATTTTTGCATGTTTTTGTTTGAAAGGAAACAGAAAAAAGTTTATTTGTAAGTTTTGTTTTTGGAGATCGATAAAAAGGAAGCAGTCTTTGTATGTTGGAATCAACTATAGGTGTAACAGAATACTGATGAACGAGAAATGTTTTCATAATGCTACTCTAAGAAGTGCCATATTTATATCCACCAACATCTAGAGTGTGTCCTAGAAAGTTTTGTTCATTCATACTTCATAGTTCTTTTTTTATTAATTATTTTTGGTCCACCTATACTAAAGAAGAGATAGAAGTTTGAGCACTTTGAAAGCGTTCTACTCAGTTTCACTTTTTGGCATAAATTGGACCTTAGGGTAACTATGGTTTGGTAATGGGACAGAAGGAAAGGCTCTATCATTGTTTTCCCTAATTAGAAATAAATGGGAATTGCAATGATGGCATTGTTTTTTTTATTTTGTGGATGTCTTTTATAAAATATGTCAAGAATTTGTCGACGACATAAAAGTAAAACATTTATTTATTTATTCAGCGCACTGTTAGCATAAAATAAATTACTTTTTGGAACTGCTGCACTCTTCAGGCATGCTGCTGCGTATCTAGAGGAGAAAAATGTTGGGTAATACATTAGTGTTCTAACGACAGTTTTTCTAAACAATGTCACTGTGTTCTTGATGAAACCGACTATAATTTATTTCACAATTCATGTACACAGATGAAACTTTGCACTGCATTGTGCCTTGCAACTACTAGTATGTACTGCAAATTTAATTCATATTAAGGGGGGACACTGGCTAGAGACTGAACTTTTGAACTGCTCAAGTAATCAGAAAGAAATTTGCGGGGGAGATTTAACGTCAGATATAGCTGTGTTGTGCAGACTTTGAGCTCTCTAGGACAACTTTACATACCTGCATAAGAAGATGTGTCACTCTTCGTTAAGAAATCTATGATGTGCAAATGAAGCTATGAAGCACCATTTTGATTGCTTGAATATAAAGTGGAGGAGTCAAAGAAAGAATAAAAACACTTAGGGACAAGGACAGACAGCACAAAGAAAGAACTGTGCTGTCTGTCCTTGTCCCTAAGTGTTTTTATTCTTTCTTTGACTCCTGTATTTTCACCAACACGCTCTTTCATCTTTGTCTCTTATAAAGTGGAGAATGTGGGACTTCGAGCAATCTAGTTTTTATAAGTCAAATGTAAATATTTTAGAAAGAATTATTACCTCAAAACATGAGATGCATATCTGACTTAGTATGTTAATTTTTGAAAACAGTTTTTTCTCAGAGAAGTTCAACCTAAAACAAAATAAAGTAGGTAGCCGGATACCCCAGTAAATTTCAGTTCAGAAACATCTTGATTGTGGTATCAGAATACTTTTTACCTTTGAACAAAAGATTCCTTCATACAAATTTGCTGCAAAAAGTGGAACTGAGAAAAATGCATTCAAACATTAAACTCCTTTACTTTGTTGCTGCCTCACAATGTGTTAAAATATTTTATATCAATGGAACTATTTGGCGTATGGTTATCAATTTTAGTGTAAGCGTATATAATTAGTTTCTAAAACCTAAAAATTGAAAAAATTAAACTTTTCACAAAAATTTGAAATTTATGCCCATGTCCCCTTTAAAGCCAAAGGTGCAAAATTTGACACTTTTGTGCAGTGTCCCCCCTTAAGTGGGCTTGCTCAGAGTGGAGTGGCAACAAGAAAACAAATTTCTGTCTTGTGCTATTGCTAGGTCAGCTTGTTATTGCTAGGTCAACTTGTTCCAGCCACAGCGGGCACGACGTCTGAGCTGCACGTCGGCGTACAGTGTTCCCCTCGCGACTATTCTCGCAGGCTTTGAGAACCTCACGAAGGCGTTTCAGAAAGCCAAGATGGTGATAGAGAAGGAGGAAGGGGGCAACATCCCCAAGTTCTACATCAGGAGCCTGGTGGAGCTGGAGGACTTTGTGTCGGAGGTATGTGCGGGAACGAGGCCCTCAACCAAGCGCCTTTGATTGGGTTTCTTCTTGTGGCGGCATCGGGAAGGTCTTGGGTGCGTTCGTTTGTTTGTGGAAGAGCCCACGGCACGAAAAATCTTCCCTCTCCCCCCCTTTCATTAGTTTCGTGGCCGATTGTTCGCAATGGCATTTTGCTCGCCGCACGCCCGGCGACCTCTCGCTCCTTGTTCCTTTCCTCAAGGGCACCGGTCCGATGGTTTTGTACACGAGGCCAGTGGCGTTTTGCGAGTCGAATTTCTCGAGCAGAAACTCTGTTCACGTTCCCCGCAAATATGTTGTCTCGTCAAAGGGTGGCTGGGATGCATCTGAGGGGGAAGGAAAATCAATATTAGCTAGAGACAGACATCTTATAAACATATGGAAAGCAGCACAGTCGACTCCGTCGCAGCCATTAAAAAATGTAAAGATGGCCGGCACGGCATCGGGTCTATCTCCCGAACGACTTGCAGAGCGCGTGCACAGACCAGGCAGTTAGCGTTTTCTCTCCACTCTTCTGTACCGTAAGATACCAAAGGAGCAACCACCTTACTTTCACTGAAGATTGGGTCAATTTATACACGGGCGCTTTTCCGGTCAAATCGGGTGCTTAAGCACCGTTCACATTATATGCGACCGAGTAAGGCCGAGAGAGACCAGACCGGTTTTTAAGCCTCTTGGAACGTCTTAGGACTTGATGCGCTGCAGCGGATCTGGTCCTAAGACATCGCAAGAGGCTTAAAACCGGTCTGGTCTCTCTCAGTCTTACTCGGTCGCGAGAGTGTGAACGGGCCTTTAACGTATAATTTGCGGAATTCTTAAGTTTGGGAAATGTTAACGGAGGACTTTGGAATGAAGCGGCGCTTTTGCGGTACCTTACTGTAGTCACGGACAAGAGTAGAGCGGCAGGGCAGTCCTCAGGTTGTCCCACCTCCAACAAACGCTTCTGCTTGTCGTGGGCCTCGAGTGCATACACGCGACCGGGCACAATAACTCGGTGAACTGAGGAGCTTGCGGCCCCCGTGACCCAATAAGAGCGCCGGAGCAAGGCACTTGGTGACGCTCCATAGTTGAGGCTACGGAGGCCTTGCTACTGCCACAGCAACACCGCCGTTTGTGACAAAAAGTAGTTTTGGGCTTCTTTCTCTCTTTAACGGCAAATTCAGCTCGCGCGATTCCATCTTTATTAAGAAGATACGAAAAATAAGGAATAAATACAGTAGAACCTCGTTGATACGTTCTTGGTTGATACGTTTTCCTGTCCGTTGCGTTCAAAAACGCCGGTCCCGTTTTACTTCCATAGAGATACATGTATTAGTTTCCTGCCTGTTACGTCTGCTTTCCCGGTTGTTGCGTCCAAAAGTGCCGGAATCGCGGCGCCTCGGCGCCTCGGCGCGCCGTGCGCCAAGGTGCCACGCCGGCTTGAAGCGAAGCGAAGCAGAGCCGAACAGCCGAACCACGCAGCGCGGATCGCGCGGCCGCGCGGCACGCGGGCGCCCCCCTTCCCTTTACTCCTTTCCCCCTCTTTCCCGGTCTCCTCACTGGGCCGACTGGGCTTTGCTGAGCTCTGCGAAAACGCTCGTTCTCTCTTGCTCTTTCTTTTCATCTGTCCTCTCTCTCCGGCGCGAGTTGTTTACGCGCCGCACGCACGCCGCGACGGCTGCACTTCCAGTTTCTGTTCCGCTCGACAGCTCGACTGCGTGAACAGTGCCGTTTCTGAGTGCGTGCGCGTTGACGACGGCCATGACATCCCGAAAAGAAAAGCACTCTCTTTTAAAGAGAAGTTTGACATACTTCGCACGGTGGATCGAAATCCCAGCCGGAAGAGGTCTGAGGTCGCAAGAGAGCTTGGACTCGCGCCGTCAACTTTAAACAGTATCGTCGCGAGACGAAAGGAGATCGAGGCGAAGGCTCCTTTCTACCAACCAGGCCAACCAGGCTTTAAACAGGCTCGGGGGGCAAAACACGCAAAGTTAGAGGAGGCCCTGTTGGTATGGTTCAAACAAGCCCGGGCATCTTGTGTCAACATCGACGGAGGGATTTTGCGAGAGAAGGCGCAAGAGATTGCTGATCGTTCGGATATCGAGCATAGCGGACATTGTGGCCGACCTCACTACTGCCGACAACGAAGAAAGTAATGAAGAAGACGAACAAAAAACCAACGATTACGCTGCACCCACGTTTGCGGACGCGATCGCTGCGTTGGACACCTTGCGCCGCTACGTAAACGTTCATGACTGCGCGGAGAGTGAGAGGGGACTGCGGCTTCTGGAGAAACGACTTTTACTGCATACCATTAATTCGAAGCGGCAGGTGGATATTACGCGTTTTTGTGAACGTGTCTGAGTCCAAAAGAAGTCGGTAAGTGCATAAAATAAACCATTGCATAAGAGCTGCTTTCTATCTTATATAGAGTGCCTTTAAGTGCGTTATCGGTTGCTGCGCTTTCCCGGTTGATACGCTTTTTTTCCGCGGTCCCCTGAAAAACGTATCAACGAGGTTCTACTGTAATCAGAAATTTATGCGTTGCAATGATATTTAAACCAAAAAGGTGACGTCACATCCGTATTTGCTCAAGATTTTTTTCTAGCGACGCTGTGGCCGTTGGCGATCACGGCCTTGCAATCGACTGTTTCCGCTCAAAACATCGCACGGGCCCCAGCATTAGCATCCGTCGCAGATTTGAGGGTACATTGAGCGTACGGTTGTGAACTGTTCCCTGAGAGCTCGCTATTTCTAGCGGACGAAAATGTTGCAGACGTGGACGTTCATCCGAAGTCGGTTGGTTTCGCAGCAGACGACCCTTGGCCAGCAGACGACGGCCGGTTTCTCCAGGCCTTGCATTTAGCGCATTGATGCACACTCCCCATAACGTAGTGTGACGTGTCTCACTCCGACGCTCTCTTATTGGGTCGCAGTGGCCGTAGACCTGCAGTTCGCCAAGTTACTGTGAAATGGAGTATTATGAGCGTGTGCCGGAGGTTGGGCATCGGAAAGAGTGTCGCCGTGACACGAACGCGTGGCAGTTCACAATGCCTGTCGTCGGCTCTGCGGTGGGAAAGAGCAGGATGCTTGGCCTTCGTTTCTTGCGTGCGACACGGATGAGTGCTGACGGTGTCCTCTGGGGGCAGTGCTGGGAGGACCGCGAGGGCCGCAAGAACATGTCCAAGAACAACTCCAAGTCCCTGGCGACGCTACGGCAGAAGCTGCGCAAGTACAGCAAGGACTACGAGGCGGACATCACCAGGTACCGAGAGAACCCTGAGGAGGAGGACGAAGAGCGGGACGAGGACGACGAAAAAGGTAAGCTTTAGAGGTCGCGTCACCCTCTGGGCAGACGTCCACACTTTGCATGTTGGCCGTGTGGTCTTGAAACACTACGCGGCGCGATTTCTGGGCTCTAAAATTTTGTTTTGGTGCTTTGTAAATCGATTTGTGCAGCTTTAAGCGGGCTGTTATCCAGCTGACTACGATGTGGAACTTGTAGATAAAAGCAAATTGGACGGAAGTTTCGGCGCATCATTAGCGTGATAACTTTCCTTATGAGGATCTCTTTTTAACTTGAGTAGAGATGGATCGCTGTGTCAGGTTTACGGCACTTAGCCCAGAGCTGACCTCTGGAGGGTCTTTCCTGAGTTGGGAGTTGTTTTGTGAGCGAATAAATTTATGTGTCTCACATACCCCATAACTTAGGTAACATTATTCTCGAGGAATTATGACTTCAAAATCAATGTGAAAATCATATGTTGAACTTGAAGGTGTTTTAAGACTGGGAGGTAAATTATTTTCTTCAGAATTGCTTTCCATATACACTGGTACATAACTTAATGAGGGCCTTTTGTACAGTGAGCTACAGACTCTGGTGGCAAACAGAGTTGTAGTTTGTGCCGAGTTTTGAGTAGCAGGCTCAATGACTAGTATGGGCTTTGCGCTTAATAAGGTTGTAACACAATGTCGTTTACAACAGACTCTTTGGGGATACGGATTTATTTTTAATTCTATAAAGCATATTACTTTGTAAGAAAATATAAATGAATATAGTTCTTTACAGTGTTCCTTTGATGAGGCATTGTTTTAAAGTAAAATGTACAAAGTTATTTAAGAAAGCAGTCTTACTCCCACCCCCCCTCCCAACATTTTCACACTTGACAAAAATCTTTTGGTGCTAACAGCTGCATTCTAGTACGTCTTTGTTTTATTGTACCAGATGCACTCCAGAAGACGGCACCTTGAAACTGTTTTGCATCCCTCTAACTTGCTGTTGATCCTGGCGGCGATCAAGTCTCTCAGATGCCTTTGGTTTTCGGAAGGGATCTGTTGCGTGCATGACTTTTCAGCTAATGCTATGGGTCATAAAAATTTGAGCTTGGCAACTGTGTTTTCAGACTCTGATGATGACGACGACATGAGCTTCAAGAAGAAGCCAGCTGCCAAGGTCGAGAAGGATGAACCTGCTTCCAAGTTCATGAAGGGCGGCTCTGACGACGAGGTGACGTCTTTATTTGAAACAAGCCGCTTCAGTCGTGTCATTTCTTCTAAACTCTTTTTTCCCTCAACACATTTATATAGATAAAAGAAAAAAGAAATTTTTCACTCAAAAGATTACATTATTTATAGGCTAGATTAGGTTAGGCATTGATATTGTAAGTGATGCATTGTTTCAATCATGCGGCTGAAATTGCAAATGAATGGAAAATTTTATTTTGAACTGGGCTTTCGGAAGCTTACGTCTGTGTTGGTCAGCCATTTTGGTCTTCCCGCTGGTTGTAGTCCTTGACATCACTGGTTGTTGGCCAGGTCAGGTTTTTCTAATGCTGCTGCTTCGCTTGGATGACGAGGAAGGAAAGCTGTCAAAAGGCTTGCATCAGCTTGTGGCATCCGGAGTTCGGGGGGGTGTATCTTTGAATGTTCCTTTCTAAAGTTAATTTAGATGTGCCTCGTTATCAAGATTCTGGGGTGACATTTTGTATTGGCCTTTTGTGGCTTAAAGAAAACCAAATGTCTATTTTTGAATGATACAAAATTGTTTCTCTACTACTTGTTGGAGGTGTGGTTCTCAAATTCGAGAGTGTTAAGGCCTGTCCACACAAGACACTTCAGAAATTGTGAGGCGACACGACTCCATAAAAAATTGTGGAAGTTGAAGTGTCCAGCAGCCCGATGTCTATCTGAACAGCACCAAGCAAACATCATAATTTTCCTCCTCTCTTCCTCTGCTTTTCGGTGACCTTGGTGCTCGTCAGACATGACATCACACGCTACCTGCTATTGCAGTCCAACTGTTCTGCTAGGCCTTTGTATTCCTGATCATGTTCCAAAATCTACTTGTCCTTACTCCAGAGTAAGGGTTTTGTACCTTTGCGTTCAAAAACCTACCTGTGTCCAGCGTCGCACTATCTGTGTTATTACGTGGCATGACCCGCTGGAGAGTAGCTCGGACCTATTTGGGTAAGATTTCGAACACGGCCCTTCCCTTTCCCATTTTCGGGACCTGAGGAGATGCGGAGGCCTTGAGCGATTGACTGACGGCCAACAGAGCTTGTGAGTGGCTGTCCGGACCGATGTGTTGTGCATGCTCAAGGCCCCCGTGGAGGACATAGGCAAGATTCCACAAAAAAAACCTCCCCCGGGGAAAAAAAAAAAGAAGGATGGAAGCAGAGCGCTACACAATTTATGTCGGAGTTGTGTCGCCTTACAATTTTTGAAGTATTCTGTTTGGACGGGCCTTTAGGAACACATCTCCTTACAGTTCACTGGGTGTTGTAAAAAGCATTACACAATCGTGTATTAATGTGCTTCGGAGGCTGCTCTGGCTTGAGCCTTCTTTCATTTTATATTCATCCTGTTGTGTTTTTCGCTATTGTTTTTTTGGAGACTCGGTCTCTCGAAACCAGTTGGTTTGGCATTGTCAAATTGCACGAGCTTCGGCATGCACTGTTAGCAGACGAAGAGCGGTCAACTTGGGTCGTCACTCCAGACGGTGTCTCGTGGTTCACAGGGTTGCGATGGGTCATAGTTTGGGAGGCCTCTAGGCTCTCCACCGGGGAGCGTAAAACGCAGCTGCTACCGGTTGGCGTCGAGATCCGTGCGAGACATTTCCCGCTCGGTTGCAGGAATCGGATGACGACTCCATGGACTGGGGTTCCTCCGACGAGGGTGAGAGTTCTCTCTCCAGTGACGACGAGAAGTACGGCGGGAACCTGGCCATCAAGTTCCTCAAAAAGTGAGTGTATCTCGCCAGTTGCTCGGGGCCGACACAACAGATCGACGACCCCGAAAAAAGGCGAAATGCGCGGCGATTCGCTTTGTGGCGGTTGTGGATGACTGAGCGGATCCGGCGTGAGCGCCCATTCTGTACCGAAACACTCCATCGCACCGTTAGTGAGCGATTATCTAAGATGCGTTTAACACCTACGGGAATGCAGCAAGGGGCTCGGGTTGGAAAAGCGACGATCCGTTGGTCTATGCCTTTTGTGTACGAGTGTACCTTTTGTAGCATGATCATTATTTCCACTTCCGGAAGCCGGTGGGGTACGTGGTTTTACGAAAGCCCGGTGCATCCATGCCGAGCTCGTCGCGAAATCAACCCGAAACCCCCAATGAGAGAAGGGCGGACATAGTCTTAAATTGCTTCGGCTTGCTCTAGCCAAGTTGGACGAAAATTCAAGCTACGGGACATCGCATTAGTGCTACCTTTAGACTTCTCCTAAAGCCGGGGCTCTGTTTAGAATTGGCCCAGACTGGTCAGAAGGGACCATTATCATATTTTACGGGCTGCACCTTGTTTGTTGCCTGCAAAAACAAATTTCAAGTTGAAAAAAAAAAAAAAAAAAAAGGTTTTTCTTAGATAGTTTACAACCGGTGCATAGTCCATATCCTGAACATTGTCCGTACGAAAAAAAAATTCTTGTACGCAGCACGCCTTCAAAAATTGCTGCTTTATTAGAGTATAAAGCTTGTATACAGTCATATCTTGATATAATGAATTTCACGAGACGGTTGAAAATCGTTTGTTATTCTGAAATATTATTGTTATAGTGAATAACTCAGAGTGGCACTATTATAAGCAAATTGGACAAAAGAAATGACGTATCTTTACAATAAGACAAAGCTTGGTCATTTCCGATCAAAAAGCATTATACGTGTTGAAACACTGAATATTTATTAGAATAAATCTGGTATCTCTTTCTGGTGGGTGCAACACACAAAGACAGCTTCCAAGAAACATGCACAACTTGGCGATGGCACTCGGGACGCTGGATGTGGAAACGGATTCTTCCTATAAGGGGTATTCACTGGACGACATATTTGAGGGTGATGTTTTGAGCGCATGCTCAGAACAAGCTCACACTAATAGGCTGCTAAGACCGGCAATCGTTATAGTGCGGAATGCACGTGGCAAAAGAACTGGAAGCTCGCCTTTAGCACATGCTCAGCAGTCGCGCACACAGCTATGGCCGCAAGTGAATACTCCCCATTGTTCTGCAGGCGCTGCTTCCGCGCCTCTATCGCTGCACTTTTTTTTTTTCGTGGACGTTGTCTATACTCCGTTTCACCTTCAGTCCGAGCGCAGCGGACGCTAGGAGCCATCCCAGCCAATCCAGCATGAAGAGAGTGTCATGTGACCTTGAGCTCCCTGTGGCGCTCTGCCCAACCGGCAGGTCACGCAATTTTCTCCCGGCGCTGGATTGGCTGGGATAGCTCGTGGCATTCGTGAACGTTGTCTAGAACGTTGTCGGTTGTTGGCTCTGTTGACATCCATGCTGCATCAATGCACTGCAAGTAATCTTCGAACTCCATCGAAGGGTTTGCGGCAATCTTCCCGGTAGCTTTGCTCCACAGTTCGCTTGCGTTGTGTTTGTCTGGGTGCTCGCCACCTTTTACTTGGTCTGGTGTTTTCAGAAGTCCCGTTTTCAGAAGAACTTACTGTAAGAAAATCAAACCGAAGCTGACGGCACCTGAAAGTTGGCAAGAAGCCTCACCAGCCGACATACTGTATCGAGTATGAGATAAGACCTTAGCGGCCCAGTGTGCATTTGCTGCACGCCAGTGTTTGCTGATGACGATAGTTGTCGGTCTCGGAAGCTGCCCAGTGGCAGAGGTCGCCAACTAGCGGGAGCACTCTGACTCTTCCATTGAATGTTTAGGAAATAGATTTGTAATATTGAGGTGTTTGCAACATACAAAAGCGATTAAGTACATTGTTTTGATGTATTTGACATTTTTAAATTCATACTACTGAAATATTTTTACATTGAAACCATAAGAAATCAGAAGGTCTTTTTGAAATTTTCGGAAGTGTGAAAAGTTAGTTAGTCTGATGTTTGCAATAACGAGATTTAACTGCAATACAAAAATCATAATTAATGTAATCTGTCATTCCCAAAATCGCTCTCTTCCTAATGAAGGACCTCGTAAGAAGGAATTCTTGTATAGTCTGCACAGTGCAAAATTTCAACTTTGAAACATGCTTAGTCCCCGGACCGGAAAATATGGTACTCTCTTTCGATAAATTTGAGATTTACAATACGTCATTGTTTGTGGTCCGTGGGCTGCAGGGCCGGAGGTGACAAGGACGAGCAGAAGGAGCAGCGCCGGCGGGAGAAGAAGCGTGAGCAGAAGGACAAGCGCAGGGACGACGACGAGGAGGGCTGGGAGGAGGTCAAGGGGGGCGTGCCCCTCATCATGGTGAGGGACAGATCCGAGGCGCCGTAACTTGTTGCAGTTTCCATAATTGAGCGGTACTTCCTGAGTTACAGCGAAGCTTCAGTAAACAACTCTGTTATGCGTTTGGACTGACTCGTTGCTTAGTTCGGTTGCGGGTGCTTATAAAATGTGGGCCATCTAATACGCATACGCACAATGATTTCGTCTCATGCCTGCTGTTACTGCTTCAGACTCTGCTCTGAGCAGAGAGTGGAATCAAGAAGGCACTGTGCCAATATCATTTCCGCTTCGGAAAACTGAACCGTTGGTCGGTAGTCCTGTTTAATGTTGATGTCGTGGGATATTTTGGAAGTTATTGGGACGTAACTTGGATACATTTTACGAGGGCCAGTAACTATGATTGGACACATACAAAAAAGAATGTAACTGTATTTGTGACTCAATTACATTAGGTGTTGTAACTTGAGTACTCTTAAAGAGGGCCTTCTTCGAGTCTGTTTTGCAGTTGCAAAGTGAGGAATTAGATTTATGCTTACTTTGTGAGCTCATGGGCAACGTATTGGGTGGTGAAATGGTTTTGCAGGTGATACGTGCCTTCAGAGCACACAGGGGCCAAGAAATGTGCTCGGAGAACATGTTTCTTTTTTGAAGCTTGTTCTGTTTCATCTAATATTCTAGGAACTTGAAAACGTTTCCGTACAATTGAAGTTGTTTAAATGTTAGGTTGTAGGTGAGCTGGTCGTGGTTAAACATCCAAGAATATCCCGAGTCTCAGATTACTTAGGGGTCAATGCAAACACATTAGACATCTAGAAGTGACGCCCTGTTAAAACTGTCTGTTGCATGCCTATTGCCAGGGTTCGGTTCTTCATTGGTATATATCCACTGGAATTTCTGACTGTTATAGAAAAGGCAAGGCAGCCGTCGCTGCTACTAGCTGACGAGGACACATTTGCTTATCCACTGCATCTTCTAATCGCAGTTCGACACTGTGTTGTCACCCTTCACTCCCTGTGCGAGGAGCTTAACTTTTTGGCCTTATAAGGCAATACAAAGCCAAGGTTGCTAGAGCTTGGCTGTCTTCCGTTGACGGCCCCTTCCCCTTCTGCTCTTGCAGGAAAAGCCCAAGATGTTTGCCAAGGATGCAGAGATCAACCACGCGGTGGTGCTGAAGAAGCTGAACGAGATCCTGGCAGCCAGGGGCAAGAAAGGCACGGATCGGTCTGAGCAGATTGAGCTGCTCAGCGAGCTACTGACCATCTCCCAGGCACACAACCTGGGGCCGGGCTTCCAGCTCAAGATCATCTTTGCCGTCGTGTCGGCCATCTTCGACTACAACCCCAACATCGCCACCTGCATGAAGCACGACATGTGGCACAAGTGAGTGCACCCCTGCCAGGAAGACGGACTTGGAGGGGAATCTTTGAAGAGAGGACCGTGACAGTTCGGTTGAGTTTAACCCTTGCGGTTGCGGGAAGCCGAGATATCTCAATCACTTTTTAGTTCCTTCCTGCCATGCACATGCTGTCGCAAGTATGGTCTAAGGACGAGACAATAACCCTGCTTCGTTATTTGCTGCTCTCTTTTTGTTAACGACAGTGATAGACCTCCACGTGCCCCGCTGAAAAGTAGAGGCACGGAAAGGCGCATTACCGATGGGACTTCATGAATGTTAAGGGCTAAGCCCGAAGAGAATGTGGCGAAAGAGGAAATCATTTTAAAGTTGCTTTAACTGGGACGAAGAATTTTAATTTTTTATTTTCTTGCAAGTACTGCTAGCATTCAATTGGACCCTAAGGCAGCATGTTATAAAAAGATACAAAAGAAACTGCGGTCACCGACCAATTTTTCGGACGCCGATAATTTTGACTTGTTTGATATTTCAGACCTAAAAGAGGAACCGTGACCTACCCGATAGAAATAGTGCATACCGTATAAACTCGTGTAAGGGCCGCACTATGTCTTCCCGATTTGAGGGCAAATTTTCGAGGTGCGGCACATACACGGATTAAAAGAAAATATCTGTATCCACATTCCTAAATGAACGTACATGAGCGCGCTCGGCTGCACTGGTCGGAAAAGCCTTCATTCCGGAATCCAAACTCAATTGTCAGTCAGATTTAATTACAGTAAAACCTCGTTATAACAAAATGGGATATAACAAACTAATGGATATAACAAAGCAATCAGAATTCCCTTGCTTGCTAATAGTGGGAAGAAATGGACATTGGCTATAACAAACTAATGGTTATAACAAAATAATTACGACCGCTCCTTCAACTTTGTTATAACGAGGTTTTACTGTAGTTTACATACTGCGCAATACACTCTTTTTCTTTTTTTTTTTTTCCGTACTTGATAGCATGTGCGGCAACTTTCGGCTTCAATTCCGCATGACTGTTGAACTGATCTGAGAGCCCATAGTTCTCAGATTGCACGATAAGGCAGACAAATCATGACGCTTTGAAATGAATCGAGGAACAAAAGGAAACCTCCCCGGAGCGTACAGTGGCGTTCGGAAACCTGAGTGTATGCGCGAGCTGAGCCCGCTGAATCCCCATTCCTCGCGTTTGCCACGGAACCTGACATATCCTTTATCTTTTCTCAATGCCTTGCCTCAACATAAATGCATCCTGACAGTGCGGCCAACTACGATCGAGGTCGACAGCCGTTATGCCATATGATGATACGGATGAGTGGAGAGCAAATATCAAGGATGTAAACACGTGCCGCTTCGTGCTCGGGCGGTGGCTAGCGCCACCTAGCGATATATATTCACAGAAACATGGCATTACAGTCGGTGCGCCTCAAAAACAAGGGGGTGCAGCGCATACACAAATAATTTCCACAATTTTTTTTTGCCATACTTTGTCCTAAATACGGGGGTGCGGCCCTTACAAGCGATTATACGGTATTCACAAGTGATGTTTCAGACAGCTTAAAGTCCGAAAGTTAGATTTTGCGGACAAAATCGTCGTGAGCGATCAGTGGAAAACACTACCGAGAATACACCATTGATTTTATGTTGGCTGCACATGGATTGGCTTGGTTTGACATCGCTACTTGAGTTTAGCTAAGTCCTACCGCTAAGTGACGCTATGCTACGACTTTTTTTTTTCCTCTAGCTCATTGTTGTTACCATTTTGCTTTATTCCCTCACCATTCTGCAGTCGTGGACTTGCGCCTTTCATCTCGTCTCGGTGAATCGTGTTTATGGACTACGCTAGCTTGGAAGTCATGGCCCCTTCTGTTCTTCCGTCACTGCGAAGCGTCGCTAAAACGCGCGGAGAGTACTCGACCATAATGCTAGAAAAGAATGCAGCGATTCTCAAGCTAATAGAAAGTGGCCGAATGCAAGCGGAGGCATAACCCGAAGGAGGGCTCTATTGACTGCTTTTCTTAGCCCGCTTAGACGTAATAAAGGCAAGTTTTTTTATCTGCTAATTTTTCGGACTGCTCTATTTGTTGGACTTTTTTTTCCGGCCCCTGCCAAAGTCTGAAAAATCGGTCGGCGAATGTAACAGAAAAGGGGTAAGAGCACTGCGCTGCAAGCATAACTACCAAACAGAAAAGCGCTTCAGATGGGGGTGACTAAACGCTGATGTTGTTTCCAAAATGACAACAATTTCAAGAAGCCTGTTTCAATCACTGACGGCATCTGGAAAAAACATTTTGAATGCAACGGTTCTACATGTAGGTTTGATCGACGTCGGGTTATGTTTGTGTTCGGTTGTCCTTGCTCGATTAAACGACGAACAGCCACGAAAGCTCGATCGCACGTTTTCTGTAACAATTTACGTCGGATTTGAGCTGGCCAAGTTTTGCACGGGGTACCTGTTCGGCACGTTGCAGACGTGAAATCGAACTCTGCCACTCGAACGTCCCATGGTGCAGGTGCATGGAGCAGATCGACCTGTGCATCAACGTGCTAACGGAGAACAGCAACATCTCAGTCGGAGAGCACGTGGCCGAGGAGTCCGAGTCCCTGACGGCCCCTCCCTACCGCGTGCGCGGCTGCATTCTCACCGTGGTGGAGCGCATGGACGAGGAGTTCACCAAGATGCTACAGGTAGGCGCCACTGCTTGCCTCGTCTTTTGCATCACTGGCTGACGATGTCAAGGTGGCGTTTCGTTACCCTCGGAGACATTTATGTCGAATGTATTATGGGAGAGGTGGGGAGAGAGAGGCATTCGCTCTTTCTCTTGAAAGTTGCAACATGGTCGCGCAAGTGTGCAGATAGCCCACTTCCGGTTCTCAACTGGATGATGGGTTTTTAATGTGAAAGCATTATCTGGTCTCATGGAGCGGGCCGACGTCATCGGCTTTGAAACCACGCTAAACGGCTCTTAAATCCTTCACCAAGTCAAGCCAGCTCCCATTCGCCCGTCAGCCACGGCACCTTCTACACTGCTTCGATCCCATTGGCTAGCGCGCGTTGACCGGGATCCCATTCACCGGGCACGCAGCGGCCATGGGGTGGCCGGTCGTTAAAACTGACGCTGCGCGTCAGTTTCAACGATTGGCCACCTCATGGCGCCTTGCGTGCGTCAGTGCCAGGTCAGCACCAGTCAGCGTGCCAACACGTGTGTTCCCCTTCTTGTTCCCCTTCTCCAGGTATTATTTTCGTCATTTTTGTCCAGCCCGCTTGCACCTTTTCATTTAATTGCATTATAATAATAATTTACATGTTCACAACTCATAAGAAGTGCTTTGGTGTACCTCAATCTTTTTGTAGTACAGTTGAACCTCAATCTAACGAACCCCGCTCTAATGAAATTCACAATTTAACAATATTTTTTTCGTCTCCCCATCTTGCTTCCATTGAAGTATTTTATGTCTCGATTTAGCGAAGCGGGAAAACTATGCTGCAGAAAACTATGCCAAAACTATGCTGCAGACATTATTTTGAAGGGCAATAAAAAGAAAAAAAAAAAAAAAAAAACTCTGCTTCAAAACAAGATTAATACAGCGGCCGTCCGCCACGTTGAAAGTGTGGTGGAATCGCTCAAAGTTCGGCTCAATTTTGCATCTTTAGCGCAATTTGGAAGCCGCCGGGTCCATGTAGATATTTTTTTTAAACATATTTTTTCAGTGAATTACGGGGTGATAATTACAGAGGAGTAGGTAATTTTTGGAATATACAATCCAAAAGTGTAATTTTCTGAAAATCAGTATTTTCACAATTTTTCGGTTTTCAATTTTTGCGTCCCAAATTCGAATGGCGTTTTCGTGTACTAGTTCATACTTTTTGTTCTCGCGGCCCCATTGAGCGTGGTTCCTTTCCAAGCAGTGGTGCGCTGCAGAGAAGCAACACCCATAGAGCTCGCTTCTGCAGGTGTTGCTTCTCCGCAGTGCTCCGGTGCTCGCCAAGAAGCGCGCTCAACGGGGCTAGTGGTCCACAATAGACAACTTCTTAGAGCAATAGTTGTTATGGGCTCTTCCCACCACCAAAAGATGACATCCATTGTTGATGTTGTAGTTGATGGTGTAGTTGAGGATGATGGTGCAGTGGTTGATGTTGTAGTTGGCATAGTAGGGCGTACGGTGTTCGTTGCCTATGTTGCTAAATCCTTGAAAAAGATTACTCGCCACCCGCAAGAGTCGAACTTGGGTTTGCTGCGTGCGAAGCGGAGGCATTACCACTGAGTTACTCAACAGCATTAAACGTGTACTCAGCGATTTATTGAGCTACCCCAACTTACTATATTTTCGGAATCACTGGCGTTTACTCTTCCCTGTATGCTATTTAGTACCTCAAAATTCAGAACAGTTTTTGTGAAATCGGCAGGTGAAAATGATGCCAAAATGAACATTCGAATATGCCCACTCTTTTCAGTGGCGTGACGTCATGTATGCTATTTAGTACCTCAAAATTCAGAACAGTTTTTGTGAAATCGGCAGGTGAAAATGATGCCAAAATGAACATTCGAATATGCCCACTCTTTTCAGTGGCGTGACGTCAGGGGGAGGCGGGCTTGCAGGTCGAGCGGCGGGCAGTCTAAAAATGGACTATACCGAGCATTTGATTTGTGCTGCTGCACAGGTGCTGGAGCGAGCTTCCCTAGCATTCGTTTGATGCCATGAAAAGGCTTGTAATTAGTTGGGAAGAGAGTCTACAGTGCAAAGAGTGAACCCCTGCCTTCCCCTGACGTCACTTTTTCATTGTTAGAGACTCGCTTTGAAACACACGGTGTGGATCAAAAGTGTAAATTCAATAGCTTTGCGAAAAAATTTAATTTTGGCCCAATATTTGGGTCACTATTTCGGCCGTGTTTGTTTGTGTGTTATCAAATTTTCAGTCAAATTGGGGACTATGAAGAAAATGCCGAAGTGTCCCTTGACAACCCATCTTATGCATGTTTGCAAGTATGGCCTCCGGTATCTTGCTCACTTCGGGTGCGCTTGGGCGAGGCCCTAATCTGATTACGACGCCTTAGCAAGGCGTCATAATCGGATTAGCTTGGCGTCATAGCAGCAAGATGACAGTACCCAGAAACCATGCTTGCTAACATGTAAAATATAGGATTCTTGTAGTATAAATAAACTTTCCGAAAAAAAAAAAAAGAAAAAAAGTTGATAATAGAATGTTGCTGTAGCACTGTCAATGCCAAAAGCATTGACAGTGCTACAGCACTGTCAATGCACTGTCTTTCATCAAATTTAGATGAATTTTTGATAATTCAAAATTTCGATGATTCAAGCAAAGTTTGTGACTTTCTGGAGTTTGAATTTATGAGAGTCTATTGTATTCTTAGTCCTGCGATCTGCTGAAGCCACCACAAAAAAAGCTGTGTTCGGAAACGGTTCTAGAGAGTAGCAACGCTTTGCAACAGGGTGTTGAAACCAGCAGAGATTTGGTTCTGTGACTAAGTCTGTGGCGGGAGCTTTCACCTCGCACGCCGTTCAGCTGCAGTGCATTGGCACAGCCGGCCACCACGCTTCCCTTCGGAATGGGCCCTAACAGTGGGTCGCCGCTTCCCCAGGGTTGCGACGCCCACTCGCCCGAGTACGTGGAGCGTCTGAAGGACGAGAAGAATGTGTGCCGCATCATTGAGCGCCTCCAGAGCTACCTCGAGGGCAGAGGCTCTGCCTCGGAGCTCTGCCGCATCTACCTGCGCCGCATCGAGCACCTCTACTACAAGGTAAGGAGGCCTTTGTTGCTTGGTTTGCCAACAGGGATAGGGGGGGGGGGGTCTCTCGCAGATCAGAGAAGGACGGGTGGGGAATCTTTGATGTGTAGAAGTCGCGATTTCCTTCCAGTCCCCGAGATGTCGCAGCTGTTGCGCATTCCTAGTTTTACGAAATGGCAGAGTGTAAGCAGGGTTGCAAGACGAGTGCACTGAAGAATGAGAGGAAAACAAATGCATGCAGTTTTGTATGCTTCAGAGGGAAGTATACTGTTTTGCTTTCAATGTTCGACTTATTTCGTGGCCTCAACAAATTAAATAGTGCTCGCTTGATGGCAGGCATTGTGTGAATAGCACGGTGCACCTATATCTCGCAGTGGGGCCTTGTTGTTTTTTCTCGACTCAAAAATTGTCTGAGGGGTTCAAGTTGTTTCAAGGCGCACTAACATTAATGGTGAATTTTTGGAAACAATATCATGGCTCTCCAATGAATTCATTGCGCCAGTTCCGGCATGGCTCTTACGTCAAGTGCCTCCGACCCGAGACTCGGTGTGCCGCCTCGCCCGTCACGCGGCACGGTGTACCGCACGGCGTTCGCTGCTGTGTATTTGTGCCATTGCGAGAATCGCGATCACCGTAATCTTGATATTTGTTTGTGCAAATAAAAAGAAGCTAATTGTAAAACGAGCAGACAGTATGGCGCAATGATACAGGTATAGCCGGCTGAGCCCGTTGTAAACTGATTGCGTTCCCAATATCGCGGCTCTTTTGGCTTTGCTGGTGGTTGAATACTGTGGTTCCGATTGTGAGTCGACCGCGCCCTTCGAATTCCGATTTTCAAAATTTAAAAATAGGTCGACCTACAGTTATGTAAATACGGTATTTAGGCATTTATTTCAGACGACTGTATGGGGAATTAACAATGCTTTTTATACTTTATTTTACTTTAGCATGTACCGCAGGAAAGACTACAAACATGAGGTCCTTGCTCTAGGGTCGGCAGCACAAGCTTTCGTGCATTAAGGGCAACTGCCAACGCATGAGCTCGTGCTTCTAGCCTTTGCTGCGGTACAACATAAAACGGAGTATGGGGCATGTTCCTTCACTTTGAGATTGCCAAAATGCAATAAAATTTGGCAATGAATTCTACTCAGTGATAACTGATGGCACGTAGAAAATAGATCTGCCTACATTTTGTGCTGCATCATGACCGAGACGCCCGATTCTCGTCTGCAGTTTGATGCCAGCGTGCTGGCACGCCGACCCAAGACAAGTGAGGGCGGCGAAGAGAAGGAGTCTGCAGACGCTCCAGCGGCTGAGAAGCCGGCCGCTGCCGAGCCGGCCCCAGCCGAAGCCGAGCCCACGGCCGAAGACACCAACAAGGCCCCGGCCGTGGCCCCGACAGAAGCCGCGGCTGACACCCCGGCGGCGGACGTGCCGGCCGAGGGTGACGAGGACGAGGAGGGAGTCCACCGGGCAGAGCGGGTGGCTCCGATGCGCTCTACGCTGAACAGCCTGGAGCAGATGGAGCACCTGTGCAAGTACATCTACGCCAAGGACAGCACGGACCGGATCCGGACGCAGGCCATCCTGTGCCACATCTACCACCACGCCCTGCACGACAACTGGTACCAGGCCAGGGACCTGATGCTTATGTCCCATCTGCAGGAGAGCATCCAGCACTCGGACGTGCCCACGCAGGTGGGGCCGCCCTCTCTGGGCCCACCCTGCTTTCTTGGATCGTGTGCGCCATAGTTGCTGAGAGGGCGGGATTGGCAGTTGTCCCGCCTCCAGCGTCACCTTCCTAGCTTCAGTAGCGCGTCCTGCCGTCCTCATCTTGTCACTATGTATGTGTGCAGTGCAACCCACCTATAACGATACCGCATATAACAACGTACCACTTATAACGATCAGTTTTTTAGAGTTTCTAAACTGGAGATGATCAGCGTCTAGTCCATATACAACGATAATCGGTTTAACGATTGAAATTTCAGGTTTTCTCATTATCACTATAAATGGGTTGCACTGTATTAGGACGGAATCAAGTACAAATCGAGTAGTCGTATCCCTAGAATAATTTTGAATATTAAATCAAATGAGTTCTACAGTAAAGAAAGGCTATATTACAGCGAAGCTTTAGGGGCTAGTTTCCCCACTATCGTGTCTGGACAAAGAAATGTCGACACAAAACTCCAGACAGCTACCGCCGTCTATGAGCGTCGTTCATAGTCATCCACCGTTGTTCAGGGATGGTGGTTATGTTTCCAGAAGCCTTTCCACTCTGGTGAAAACCAGAGTGGAAAAGCTGAATTTTTCTAGGCATCATCCTAGAAGACGTCCTTGAGCTCGTCCTAGACGTCATCCTTGAGGTCATCCTCGACGTCTTCCTTGAGGTTGTCCTCGAGGTTGTCCTAAAAGCCATAGTTGAGATCGTCCTAGATGTCATCCTCGAGGTCGTCCTAGAAGTCGTCTTTGAGGTCGTCCAAGACGTCGTTCTCTAGGCGTCGTCCTTGAGGTCATCCTAGACGTCGTCCTCTAGGCATCGTCCTAGATGTCGTAAAGATAACAGCTTTGCTGGTCCCTCATCTTCACGTGAGGTGGAAGGGCTCTACAATTTTTGCAAGCAATGCATTCCTAAAGAGTTTAAAAAGTTTTGTTAGTGGCAAGGCTAAGGTATCACCGGCACAAACTATTGCGGGCATAGCTAAAGTATCGTCAGCACATCTCCCAAACGCATTCTTAGCTCTTGACTTCAAATATAGCCCCGTTGGATGCACATTTTTCTCTCTGTGCAAGCCTCCGGGCTAACGCTGGGCATTTGAAATGCACGCCGACATAGTTATGGGAGTGGTGTGTGGAGGGGCGTTGGACAGACCTCCGCTGTTTCAGATCATGTACAACCGGGCGCTGGTGCAACTGGGGCTGTGTGCCTTCCGGCACGGCAACATCCGAGACGCCCACAATGCGCTGCTGGACATTCAGAGCGGCGGCCGTGCCAAGGAGATGCTGGCTCAGGTGAGGGACGCTGCTGCTTTTGCCCCTGCTTGGATTGCTCGCAAGCTAGTGGGTGCGCTAATTCTAGGTTAGCCCCTTTTGCGAGTGATTTGCAAATACTTTGCCGGCTCTGAAGTACTAGTAGTGATCATTACGGGCAGTTCAAGTACCATACAGGGTGATAGAGTTACCAGTTTTATTTCTTTCACGAGCTGTCCAGATTGCATAGTTTGTCAACCGATGCAATGATCTGTACTTAAAAAATTCTGACGGTATTATCTGTCCAGTTGGCTGGCCAGAGGAAGAACAAGAAATGCCATACAATGTGTCAGACTTTACAATTAGCAAAATAGAAAACCACCTCCAGCCAGAAGCTAAACTGTACATTCAGGTGTGCTGTGACAATGTCGCAGTGACATTGTTTACAAAGAAAGAAAGGTCCTGGTTTTCTACATGCAACTATTTGTTGATCCTTTTAATACAAATGCCCTTGGTTGCCTGACAGACTTTGAATTGGCAAGCTTCTGCTGTATGGGAAACCTGAAAAGTAACAACCACAGATATTATTACGAGGAAGCTGACTGGCCGCTTCACGGAAGTGTGCAGCACCTGTATCGAGCTCGGGGCAATTTCGACGCACGACTTCGGACCCAAAATTCGTCGCTGTCTTGGCGTGACAAGGTGCTGGGAAACTGCAAAACTGTTGAAAAGTAAACATGACTTCATTGTATGCTTTCATTGAATCGTGTTCACTGAAGCTGGACACAGTTAGTTGCTCTGTACGTAGCTATATCTTAATGACTGAGAAAATACCGACAAAAGCTTGACACTAGGATCTCGTTATTTGTAAGCTTACAGGAGGCTGTAATCTACAATGGCTCGACGTATTGGGGGTGGGGGCCGTTGATGTCGCTTTGCTACTTGTCCAAGGGCGTCCTTGGGAAGGTCGTTGACTGACCGACGTCTCTCCTTCCCAGGGCCTGTTGCCCCAGCGCCAGCACGAGCGCACCTCCGAGCAGGAGAAAATTGAAAAGCGCCGCCAGATGCCCTTCCACAAGCACATCAACCTGGAGCTGCTCGAGTGCGTCTACCTGGTCTCGGCCATGCTGCTCGAGATCCCACAGATGGCCGGTCAGCTTTTCTTTCTTCTCTCTCTTGCCCTTTGGGCACTATACTTTGTGGAACACGCAAACACAAGGAATCCTTCAAATTGTTCAGTTCTGGAAGCATAGTCTGAATTACCGCCAGATTTTTTTTTCATAGCCATTGTTATACATTCACACTTCCACCTAACTGAAAGTTTAAATTGTGAGGGTCTAAGGAGCATGAGGGCATGAGAAAAAGTTAGGGAGCACTCTAGGTACAATGGGGCTAGGAAAATGGGGGAAAAAGAAAGAACCAAGGAGAAAGCGCAATGTGTGAATATGAATTGGCAGGATATGCACAGAGGCAACGGCTGGGACTGGGACAATAATGAGTCAAGTTAAGCCTACAACTTGTTTGGAGTGTGATTGGGAAACATAATAAAATAAAGTGACTTCGCTTCACTCCGTGTTGGGTTACAGGGGGACGCGCATGCGAGTAGCGAGTGGGCTTTTAGAAAAACACAGAGTACCTTAAGTGATGTCTGTTATATGGCAACGGTTACATGGCATTTGTATTGGGCAGTGATTACAAACGGTGAAAAAGGAAGGTGAACTTTTTCGTGTCTTGTTTTGTTGTGCTCACAGTGCCCTGATTCGTTGTTCTTCCTGTGCAGCTCACGAGTTAGATGGTCGCAAGAGGATGATCAGCAAGTCATTCCACTACCAGCTACGCAACACGGAGCGCCAGCCTCTTGTTGGTGCGTAACTCTGATACAGTGCTTCTTTGTGAGATTGTGTTTACGGCTACCTAACACAGGGCTGGAAGCGCTGTGCCAATTGTGCCATTGTGCACCAATCCACTTTCGCTGTGCCATCCTGCTTCAAAGCGCAAATGCCGCGCCAAAACTCTCCGATTTTTTCTTTTTTTAAAGCTGTATTTTTTGGGTTACTCTATGTTAGTGGCCACAGTTGTTTATTGTGTTCTGCTCGTTTAGATAATTCTGAACTAATGTAACGAAAGCACCATACCGATTAGGTCGTGTCATCGTCAAAGCAGATGTCTCGTTTGATGAAAACAGGCGCCAAGTGCCTATTTTTTTTTAACAAGAATTATAATATTTTGTTCCGGACCAGGTACATAAACAGTGTTCCATTTCGTTTCGTGCTCTCGTGTTGATGAGCCGTCAAGCGCCAGCAGCACGAGGGAGAACTGTCAGAGTTGGTATGGTCATGTGTAGGGTTTTTTGCTTGTTTAGGGACATCTGCCATGATGTGCACCAATCAGTTATTTTAGACAAATATTAATTTAACCTAATTTGGTCTGCAATAGATTTGACCAGTGTAAATAATACAATCATCTGCTAATAATCTGGCTTGAATGGGCAAATTAATTATGAGGTCGCTAATGTACATATAAAACAGCGGCCCAAGCACCAAACCCCGTGGCACTCCTCGACTCAACGTGACTTATTTTAGGCAATTTTTCTTCACCTGCAAACTGCTTACGATCGATAAGAAATGCCTTGATCCAATAACGACGTTATTCTCTCCCATGAGTGATTTTAATTTAGTAGTATTTTTATGACTGACCTTATCGAATGCTTTCTTGAGCTCCAAAAAGATTAGATCTAATTGTCCCTTATTATCAACCACTTCACACTTCCCCCTTATTATCAACTACTTGTCTGTTATTATCAACCACTATAAAAATAAACAAAAAATATGCATTTTGCAAATAAAAAAAAATTTGATTTTTTTTGTAAAATTAAGTCTTGTTAATTACAATTTTTAATAATAAAGGAACTTGAAAATTCAACATCTAAGTTCTTAGTAACCAGCTCCATAAAATTTCGGCATGTAAGCTGCAAATATTAAGTCTCTCCATAGTTTCATACTGAAACAATAGTTTTATTAAGGTGTGATGTATGCCAAAAAGTGGATTGAAGAGAAATGCATTCAAAGTGCTCGAACCTCTACCTTTTCTTTAGCGTTGGTAAACTGAAAATAATTTATAAAAAAAAAAAGGACTAGGAACTGTAAACAAATGAAACCTTCTGGGGATACTCTCTGGATGTTGGTGGGTGTTAAGAGTATTTTTCAAAATCTTTTTTTACAGACATTTGTTTTTCTAAAAAGTGTCCTAAAAATGTAAATTTTTATTTTTTTTATTTATTTTTTAAATTTGAGGTTTTCAAATTTAGAAATTAATTATACACTCTTACACTAAATTTGATAACCATATGCCAAATACAGTCAAATTTATATAAAATATTGTCAACACATTGTGAGGCAGTAACAATGTAAAGGAGTTCAATGTTTGAATGCATTTTTCTCAGTTCCACTCTTTGCTGCAAATTTCATACGAAGGAATTTTCTGTTTGAAGGTAAAAGTATTCCGATACTGTCGAGACCAATTATGACGAGGTCAGTGGGAATTGGAAATCACTTCGCTATATCCGCTATTTCGTTATAACTGACTTCGGTTAACGAAGTGCAGAAAGGAATGGGAAACAGGGATCGCTTCACTGTAGCTGCTATTTTGTTATAACCGACTTCGTTATGACCAATCTCAACAGTACCACAATCAAGAAGATGTTTCTGAACTGAAATTTCCTTGGGAATCGGGCTGTCTACTTTATTTTGCTTTAAGTTGAAGTCCTCATTGAGAAAAAACTATGTTTTCAAAAAATTGAGATGCCGTATTTACTCGCGTAATGAACACAGTTTTTTCCTCGAAAAATTGGGACATATTTGGGGTGTGGGTTCATTACGCGGGATAAAAATTTTGCATGTGCACACTTTGCGCAAATGTCATTATAGGTGTTAATATGACACGACAGGGTGATGAGGCACGTCCCCACTGACAGATGTGCACCCAGGGCTGGTAGTGCGTGCGCCACAGTAACCATCCTCTATAAATTGCGCACCTTTTTAGGGTGCTTTTGGCGTGCTTTTTGTTGAAGGAAAAGTGCCCTACGAAGCTTGCCCAGCACGGAGCGACGCGACCGTTCTTAGGCCTAACCACTTTCACGATTTCTATCCAAAAGGGGACCACAGACAGCGTGTTGTTGACATCAATGCATCCGATGGGCAAAGAATGTCCGGGGCTGGGCAATTCCTCGACCCCAGCTTCATTAGTTGTGCGCGCTGCTCGGTTCCACGGTTCATCACTTCCGCAACTACGCACTTACAGCCATTACGAGAGTGGCTTGGCTTGGCTTACTTGGCCTGGCTGCCTGGCGGGAAAAGAAAATTGGCTTGGGTGGGCTTGGTGGCTAGCTAAGTTGGACGCAGTTCGAGACTCTCGGAGCCGAAAACTAAAAGTGTGTTCATTGCGTGAGAAAAAAAAAAAAGTAAAAATATTGATGCTTATTGGGGGGGAGGGGGGGGGGGTGCGTTCATTATGTCAGTAAATTAAGACAGATATCCATCTCATATTTTGAGGTAATAACTCATCCTGAAATATATACATTTGAGTTATAAATCTAGTTAGCCCAAAGCCCCACATCCCCCACTTTATATTCAAGCAGTCAAAATGGTGCTTAATAACTTCATATGCATATCAGATTTTTTAACGAAGAGTGACACATCATCTTATGCAGGTATATTCAATTGTCCTAGAGAGCCGAAAGTTTGCACAACACGCATACATCCGATGTTAAACCTCCCATAAAAATTTAATTCTGATCACTTGAGTAGTTCAGGAGTTAAATCTCTAGCCAGTGTATCCCCTTAATGTCAGTTTTCAAGCACCTGGTAATAATTCAGAAGTTTAAAAGAATTTCACAGCAATAGCCGTTGTGGACTCTTTCCACCATTAGAATCTACGTCCATGGTTGATGTTGTAGTTGTTGTTGTGTAGTTGGCGATGCAGGGCGTCCGTCGGCGATGTTGCCAAATCCTTAAAAAAAAATTGTTGGCGCCCTTCGGGAATCAAATCTGGGTCCGCTGCGTGCAAAGAGGAGGCTTTATCACTAAGCTATGCCACAGCGTTAAAGGGGCGATGCAACAATTTTCATACTTTGTGCAAATACTGCTTAGAACAAATTCCTGACGTCCCATGGAACATGCGTTCGTTTTTCACTGCACGCAATAGAAGTCACAAACAAATTTAAGAAAAACGAGCGGCATTCACTTTCTTGACTTGCAGCTAGAACAAACGGCCACGTGATCTGTAGCCGATTGTAGGCTGCCAATGTTGATCATAGCCACGCGCTGGGTTTGGCAAAGCACAGGACTCGCCGTGTTCCAGACATTGTTACGGTTAGGCTATTGTCGTCATTGCAGCGATTGCACACGTGCCACTACCCCCCGAATGTTTGTCGAGCTATTGATTATCACGAGCCCAAATCGAGTGCTCATGCAATCCTCGGGTCGAATCCATGAGCCGCATTCAAATATTGTCATTGTGCTCAGCAAATTTTGCAAAAAAGAAAAATTGAAAATTTTTTTTTTTTGTTTGGGATATTTGAGCACTTTTTATCAGTTGTGAATGCAAAAGCATGAATGTCGTTCTTCTGCTCCCTTAATTCATCTCCGGTGTACTGGCGTGGATGGCCGCGTTTTGCTACTGCCGAGGTTGACGAGCGCACGCTCTTGTAAAGCGGTCGCAGCCCCCCTCCCCTCCTGCAACGCCTGACACGAGAGCGGTGGCCAGGCGCGCGCTCTGGTGAAGCGGCCGCCAGCGGCTAACTAAAAGCCGTTTTGCTCACCCAATCGAGAATGGGCATTTCTTTCGCATTTTTTTTTGCAGTTACAGACGCTGCCGGCTTTTCTTTATGGGATAGTTAATGCTTTCGGATTAAAAATGCTCGCTTTTGTCCTTGAAATTACACCGCAACAAAGGAGTTTGTTGGTCAGTGACGTTGCGTGCGAGTACACTTCGGTCCCACTAGTTCCAGCAAGCTCGTGTAAAGTGATAAACATTCCAAGCGAATATAGTTGCACGGCCCCTTTAATAACCCGGTCTATGCTTAGGGTTTTTGTAGTAGCCAATGCCTACTACATGTGCTCGCTAAAAAAAATTGATAACAACATGCTGTAGCGCTGTCAATGCAAAGGGTTTGTGCCGGGAGACACATTTGGATGCACTCTGGAACGAAAAAGAAACAAATGTGTTTGAAACGAAATGGTAAAATGTATTGTTTTTATAGTACTAAACACCCACTGTACTCTGCCCTCTGCAACAAAAAAAAAATAAATTGATAACAAGACATAGAATTGTCGATGCCTGGAGCTCGTGCCGGGAGATGCACCTTCACGCGCTTCAGAACAAAGACGAAACAAAAGCATTCGGAACAAAACGGTCAGATGTCTATTTCAATTCTGTAGTACCTGACGCCCACTTAAGGCGCCTTCTCCAAAAAAAAAAAAAAAAGAAAAGAAAAGAAAAAGAAAAAGTTGATAACAAGATGGTATAGAACTGAATGCCAAGAGCTTGTGCTGGGGGAGGTACTTTTGCATGTTCTGCAACAAAAGACAAAACAAAAGGCATTTGGAACAAAATGGTCAGATGTCTATTTTTGTTCCAAATGCTTTTGTTCAGGCACTCCACGGTGTGTGAACGCGACCCAATGCCTGATGACTTTGGCATGACGTGTCGGAGCTATTGCTCTGACTGTACTGGTACCGCTTAATTTATTTACGAAAACAATAAGTTAGCAGAAGAACCGAGAACAATATCACAGTGTCACTGCTCAAGTGTTTGCCGCTTGCAAATCAAAGACTTCTTTTCCCAATTTGGTGAAGTGTGGTTTGAGATGGGGTTCCTGCTCCAAAAAATGTCTTGCCGACGTTCTGCCATAGTGAAGGCTTTTGTTTGTATCACATGTTTAACTTAATAGAGTCTGTCCGCACGGCCCCTTCCAGGTCCCCCGGAGAGCATGCGAGAGCATGTTGTGGCCGCCTCCAAGGCAATGCGGGTGGGCAACTGGCGGGCCTGCCGGGGCTTCATCATCAACGAGAAGATGAATGCCAAGGTGTGGGACCTGTTCCATCAGGCGGACACAGTGCGGGCCATGATCGGCCAGAAGATCAAGGAGGAGTCCCTGCGCACGTACCTGTTCACCTACTCGTGCGTGTACGACTCTCTCTCCATTGAGACCCTGGCCGACATGTTCGAGCTGAACCGGGCCGTCGTCCACTCCATCGTCAGCAAGATGATCATCGGGGAGGAACTCATGGTGGGTCTCCCTCCTCCTCCTCCTACTCTTGCGCCGGCCTCCAATTCCTCCCCTGTAGACCTTCGATCCCGGGAAGGGGGCTCTGGACGTCGCCAGAAACTCTAGAACAGGGGTTCTCAAACTGGGTTCCGGGGAACACAGGGGTTCTACGAGCTGGTCTTATGGGTTCCGCGAACACCCAAATTGCAACCCCCCCCTTTCATGCCTTAGGCTGCGTGGCGGGACCATGCAAAGCGCCTTCATCTCACTTTGTACTGACATTACAATTGATATGGTGGGGATATGTGGGAAGCAACACAAGCAAAATTGCCTACAATTGTGCATATGTTGCCTCTCGGTCAGCAAATGGGGAGGGGAAGGGGGGGTGGGGGGTTCTGCAGCAATTTTTGAGGCTTCCTGGGGTTCCGTGAGGCCAAGAAGTTTGAGAACCCCTGCTTTTGAAAATCCCTCGATGCGCTTGCATTTCTCAGTTCGGAGTGCAAGTTCACCTGCTTCTTTTGCAGGGGTTGTGGTGACGTCAGAACGCCGAGCTCCGATAGGCTCTGATTGAAGGATAGTCGGTAGACGTCGGGGCAGCTTGCTTTGAGGTCTACCCACGATCCTTCAATTGGAGCCAATCGGAGCTCTGCGTTGTTGTGTCACTGCAACCCCTGCAAAAGAAGCAGATGAACTTGCGCTCCGCATAGACCTTTTGCAGAATTCCTCAAGCACCAAGAAGCGTGCTCCGAGCGTAGTTGCACACAGCAACTACAGCTTTAAATCTTGAATCTAAAAAAGTGAATGACGCATAGCATTTGCGCTTGTTAATGCCTCATTGTGATTGTTTACTTGGAATCTTTTTTTAAGTCAAGGAAAGTGTGTGTGGTGCATGTACCTACATTGCCATCACGTGCCTCGGTTCTCGGGTGATTGATTGATGTATCCATTACAACTCCGCACAAATATGGTCCGTCACATGACACGGCTGGCGCGACTTAACGCGGCCGCATTGGTTCCGCCCGCGTCTTCACCCAAACAGGCGTCCCTGGATGAGCCGAACCTGATGGTGGTGCTGCACAAGACGGAGCCGTCCCGCATCCAGGCCCTGGCCCTGCAGCTGTGCGACAAGGTCACCAACCTCGTCGAGTACAACGAGCGCCTCTGGGAGCTCAAGCAGGGCTCCTTCTTCGGACGCAACACCGGTACGTGACCCTTTCGCATCATCCGTCTGCATCTTCCCTGCCTTTCATGCGTGGCCAGTCATTGACGAGGCAAGAGCTTATCGTTCCGCGTAAAAGCGCTATCCTTGACTGAATTTTCGTTGTGTGATGCTATGATAATCCAGCACGTACTAGAAGGGAAGATTCACCTACTCGTGCGGCGATGTCGTGGCGGCACTCTCAAGACAGCAGAAATGCCCGTATCGTCGTGTTTGTTTACTTCGACTACAGTGGTGCTTTCTAAGCATTTGTGTTTTCGAACATCGCCCGGATTTGGAGCATTTCATGCCTGTGCTCAAGTTGAAGGTATTACTGGTGCGTACCGTATAAAGGATGCGAATTTTCACGCGTTTTCATCACCGGAGAAAAGTGATTAGGGTTAGCAATCCTGAACGCTTGCAACATCCGTCCGCAACCCGCTACGCCGTTAAAAGGCTGCGTCAGGCAAAAGTCACTCATTTCTTTCAAGTGACACACTTGAGAGAGAAGTGTCCTAGTCTGGTGAAATGAAGACTTTCCTCAAACTAAGCTTTAGTTTTCATCTAATATAAAATAAATTGTTTTACAAAGGTAAGTTGTCTCATGGCATGTATTTTGGCCTGAAAAATTGATGTTTTGATTATAGCGCGGTACTGCTTATAGTGCGGATTTTCGCGACTCCCGCGACATACGTTATATGCGGTCTACACTGTATCTGTTGTAACCAGGCCTGTTGTAATGAGCTTAGACTGTGGTTGGTAATTAGAAAATAAACACAACGTAAAAGAAATCGTCCCATTTTGTCACCGCTAAACCATGGAAAAAACACGAAGTAGTGCCTCTGGTTTCTGAAGTAACGCGTCGTTTCGACAATCGACGTCTTTACGGTTTCATTGAAACTGCGTTTTCACGATCAGTTAAAAATGTAGACCTCGCTAATTCGGACGTTTATTCGGTTCTTAGTTTTATGTATGGACACCGTTATGCTTGATCAAGTAGATGAGGCTCCATTTTTTTTTCCATAAACTTTAGTTTGTGCTTTGTTCAGGTATGCAAGGCTTCCGGGATGGATACCAGAAGGAAGGCTATGGACAGCGGGACCGCAACTGGGGTGAGTCAATGGTGGCCTAGCAAACTTAGCTTTTGAGAAAAAAAAGTCTGGTTCGCTTGACCCAGGAGTGCTTAAGGGCCGACGACCAGTTCAGGCTTTGCACTTTTCCCTTGCTTCCTCCTCCCCCCCTTCTACCTTCTCCACCGTTGCCTGTTTCCTCCTCCCCCATGGTGAGGAGGATCTTCTGCCTTGCAGGATCTCGAGTCTGGACGTCGGCCTTTAAAGGGATGCTGAACTGAAATTTGTATTTTGCAAAATAAGGACGCAGAATCGTTGAATGGGACTCTGCGAACTCCAAAACATCACTCGTACATCGATATCTCAAGCGGATGGCTGTATTACTGGAAAAGAAGGGTGCAATCAAGTGAGAAATGTGACATCACAATTCTCATTGAACTTTTAAAAATGAGGGGAACCGGCTTCGCTTCTCTCCACCTCGCTTCGATTCACCTGCTCGAGGGAGGACGAAGCGAAGAGGAGAGAGAATGAGAATCATTACGTGACATGTCTCGTCGGCCTTGTCGACCGTGTTCAGTCACACATTTCTTTTCCAAAGATACGGCCAACTGTTAGAGATATCGCTGTATGAGTGATGTTTTCGGGTGTTGCAACGCCCCGCCTATTGCTCCAGCCTTGTTTTGTGAGCTTTAAATTTCAGGTCAGCATTCCTTTAAAAGCATGATGACATCCTAGTAAAACATATAAAATAGCGCAACAGAAACAAGGACAAGAAGTAAACAGGACAGGCGCTATTTTATGTTTTACTAAGATGAACAGGTAGCGCCTGTCCTGTTTACTTCTTGTCCTTGTTTCTGTTGCGCTATTTTATATGTTTTACTAAGATGAACCAACTAGCCCAACAACGTACCTTACTCAACTATATGATGACATCCGCAGGCCCAATTTCAAGCCAGAAATATTTTATCTATAGTTAGGCTCCTTTTTCTTTGGTAGGTCGTGTTTCTCTAAAAATCAAAGTTTGAAATAGTTGAGTTTTTGAGAAAACCTCGGCAGGGTGAGAGGAGGAAATTTTGCTGCAAAATTAAGTGCTAAAATGCATGTAATAGAAACTTTTTTTTTATTTTTTTTTAATGCTTTGGTTAAAAATTAAAGTGTATCTTAAAATACATATGCAGGGGAAATAAATTTTTTTTGAGCAGCTTGGATGAAAAAAGAATGCCAGAAAACAAATATGCAACGAAGAGAAAGATTTAGGTCTACAGTAAATCTTTTGTATAATGTTATTGGCGATAATGAAAAAAAGGATATAACGAAATAATTGCAATTCCCCTTGAGAGTTTCCATAGACGGCAATGTATTAAATCTTCATTTTAAAGGGATGGTGAACCGAAATTTGGATTTCAGAAAAAACAATGCAGGAGATGTAGGCGGGACGCTACAATCCCTACAACATTGCTCGTAAGGCGATATCTCGAATGGACGGCTGTATTTTTGGAAAAAGAGGTCGAGATTGAACCAGGCCGACGAAGCGCGTGACCGTGAAGATACATAGTTTCCTCCTCTCTTCACTTCGCTCCCTCAAGGCCGCGAGGCGGAGAGGACGCGAAACCGTTCTCTCTCTTTCTCGGAGAAACATGACGTGAACATTTCTGTCAAATGCTCCTCCCTTTCTTGAAAAATACGGTCATCTGTTCGAGACATCGCTGTATGTGTGATGTTTTGGTGTTTGTAGCATCCCGTTGCACTCTTTTGCCACGTGTTTTGTGGAATCCAAATTTCGGTTCAGCATCCCTTTAAGGCACGTTTATACTCTACTGTTGAAGAATCTAACGTCTGACGACGTGAAACGACGTTCGTCGTCCACTTTGCCTCGCTGCGCTGCGAAAGGAATTGTCAGCTGTGTTTATAGTCTGGTGTCGTTCAATGCGCTCCAACGAGTTGCTTTACATTGCACATGTGCGTCACCATGGCGACCGCGTGGTTTGGTCTCGCTGGTTGCGAATTTGCGCTTCTGTTCGCAACTTGCAGCGCTGCCTGGCTGCCCTGTGACGGTGATGATGAAAGCAGTTAAATGTGTCAAAAGCTGCGATTCGCGGCAGTTGACATCTCCGCATTGTGGTACACCCGAAAGCCAAGAAATAATGAAGACAGCTTGCGTAGAAAAGCATTTATTTCCTGACGAAAGCCATGCGCGGTCAGTCAAAGAAACACAAAACTGTCAGCCGGTCGTCTTGTCGACCAACATGAACGAAACAGAAGCAGATGGTGGTTCGTAGCGACGAGGTTCTAACATGCCTTGTGCACAAACCTCGCGACTAGCCTTTTGCTTAAAAAGCTCACGGGTATGACCCCGAAATGGGAAGCTGATGTCCGTCGAAGAGCTTCAAGCGCCTCCGCAGTGTCGTTAGGTCTACACATTTTCACGGCTCCGAGACAGGTCCACGTTGACATGCTGGCTCACTCCATCGAGTGAACAGAGTAAACACAACGACTATCAGCAAACTGTGCGCCAACACAAGCTCATCCAACTGATAAGCAGCTACACTGCATGACACAAGCCTGAGACAAACACATAACACAGCCCGACCGATGCCCGACTGGGGCAACAATGCTAGGACGACAAACACAGGAGCTGGCGTAAAGGCTTCTGGGTAACGACCGTCGCCAGTCGACGCCGAGATTCGAGCAGGGCCTACTTCGGCGAAACTTTCGCCGACGGTCGTTGAGGCATGCTACGTTACGTTACGTTCGACTGTCATCAGAGTATAGACGCTCCTTTTGCAGCAACTTGACGCAACAAGGTTGGGTGCGCGCGCCCGTCGACGTTACGTTGGTGTATAGACGCACCCTTGACAAAAAGAAATTATTTGAGCATTGGATATAACAAACCATTTTCATTTCAAACTAAAGGCTGCACCACCACTTCGCGCGTAAAAAAAAAAAAAAAATTAACCACGGAGACGGATGTACAAGGATCATGTGACGGGCTAGTTGGTTAGGTCGTCAGGAGACGGATGATTTTGCTGTCGCAAAGCGGGAAAACGCACGACCGCGCGACTGCGCCGGCTGTGGCCCACAGCCGCCGCCGAGCTTTTCGGGCTTTCCGAGCGCACACACTTTCGACGCCATCTCTCGAAGGGTCAACTATACGCAGTTTGCCAAAGGTGACGACACCGAAAAAGAAAGGGAGAGCGGCGCTAGCAGAAGAGAACCACACTGTGTGAGCGTGGTTCTCTTCAATATTTTCTGCCACAACAACAAAGTAACTGTTCGAGCTTGTAGGAAACTCCCAAAAGAGTGGCAAGCATCACTTGATAGACCTGTGCGCCGGACGAAAATTCACGGCGGCGGTGCGTCAGAGTGCTTTCTTCCGGCAGCGGCGTGAAGAAACTCCTTCAGCCGGTGGTGCGCCATGCTCAGCGTGCGGCGGCGGCGGGGGGGTTGGGGGACTTCAGCGGCGGCGCTGAATGGCTCCGGCGTAACTTGCGGTGGCGCTCAGGTCTACCACGTGACTAGTGGCGGCTCCTGCTCACACCAACTACAAATTCGTTTTGCGCAAAAAGATATAGCTCTAAAATATTTTTTTTTTTTAAATTGTAAACTCATTTTGTGAATTCCTATATCATCCAGGCTGTTTAAAATCTTTTTTTTTTTTTTTCCTTAACATACATTCTTTTATTTTACGTATAAAGTCTGAAGGTTATACGGCGTGTTTTGAGCGGCGCAGTATGTTTACTTATTAGCATTTCTGAGCCCGGTAATCATGGTAAATTTAGTGTGAATGTCTCGCCTGCCAGACTTAGCTGACTTTGCAAATTTGCAAGTTTAACTCAACTATTTCAGTGATGTGATTGCTGCGCCAATTGCGCCAAACTGCGCCAAGGGGCTAACCCTGCTATGTCCTGCTACATTTTGCCAAAATATGGGTAATCTGCGCCAAGTCTGCGCCAAAGGACCAGTTTTGGTCGCCTTTCAAAACTAAACTGAGTACCGTAATTGAGCATGCGTGAGCTAGGTGGCGCAAGCGGCAGCCCGAAACAAAGTACCCTGCATCAATCGTGGCATTGTAACCTCGGAGCCGGGGAAAAGATGGGACGTAGGACAGGAACAAAACTCCAATGTCAGTATTGAACCGGCTCGCCTGCACCCTTGCTTTAATTACATCAATCGTCCATCCGGTCTCGCATGGTTTTCCCCGCTGTTTCTTCTTTCGCAGTCTCGTGAATCTCGTCTCGCGTCTTTTTTTTTTTTTCTTTTAATTTTTTAAACGATAGATGCGGGCGTGTGCGGACGCTCCGACGCTAACGTGCTGGGTAGCAGCCATGCCGTCAGGCTGTGAAACGAAATTACGTTTTTGCGCGGCGGGAGTTACTTTTTGAGCTGAAACACCCGCTTCTGGAAGCAACGGCCGTGGGAAAACTATTTTGTCCCTGCCGGCCAGTCCGCACGTCGCTACATATATGGAGCTTCCTAAATTGAAACATAAGGACCGCCGCATGTTCATCAACATTCCTGTTGTTGTTTAAAACATACGCTACTACAAAAATCCCTTTTTAACTCAAAGACTGCTGTGTGGAAGTATTGATTACCAGGTTCCTCTTGGTTGGCTTTCTTTCGAGAGGGACCCCGGTACATAAAATTTTGTCGCTAAAGAAAGTTGGTGAAGAGAAGTGAGATAAAGCAAATAACGCAATGTCTGCACGCCGAACCCGCACAGCACGCTTGTTTGTCTCGAGTTCAGTCGTTGCACAAAGCGCTCCAAGAACGTTTTGATTCTGACTCGCGATGTCCTGCATCGATGCGCTCATGTTCTTTTTCTCTGTATGTTTAGCTTGTACTTCGCCTGCCGGCCTTGCAAGCACGCACCGCTGGACTGCTCATTGTCGCATGCTGGGCAGTTACATTTTACATACATTCTTGGAGACCAGTTGGCAACAGAGCGGAGAGGCATGGTTTCGGTTTCAATCGAACAGCCGTCTCCGCTCGCGCGACGAAGCACGTGCAGGTGCAAACCTGCCGAAGTTGCCCTGACGTGCATGCAAGCTTGATTGCACGACAGAGGCACCAGCCGGGACGCTTACAATCCACTGTCTCACATTTACTTTTGATGAAAATCTGGCACGTCGGGAATCGGTAAAACGGTGGCAAGCGGTTTTTCAGAATTGCTCGGTAACGCGTATACAGCACTTTACACTTGTGGGATGTCTCAATGTCTCTTTGGTGACATTGAAAGTGGACATTCATTACTAGCCTAAGCCAAAGCGAAGCTTCAGCAGCTTTGCAGAAATTTTCGAAAAGCAAAAAATACCCCCTAGATGTAATGCACCTCTTTCTTGTGTGCAATTTCGCATTGCACTGCAGTAGCTATGAGTTTGATCAGTCGGAGGCTGCTTCCATTTATTATATCACTAGTCAACGTAATGCTGTGATATTTACTACAAAGCTGGTCGTTTTCAATTAAATTTTAATATGTGAAATTTGGTTCTTATCTATATATAGTGGGTACATATATATGTATAATTTAACTGAAGCATTGCAAAATGTGTCATGTCATTGACATTTCAGTTACACCTTGAAAGACTCCTAGGTGGTTGAACTTGACCATAATTTGTTTATTTCGGCAAACAAAGTGCCCCTCGTTTGTCCAGCACCTGAAACAAATATTTTTATTTTTCTAAGAATATCTGCTCCATAAGCCACTTTTGGTGCTCCGAAACACTGTTTTGGCTGCTCCAAAAGCCACTTTTGCTGCTCCAAAACACTGTTTTGGCTGCTCCGAAAGGTGCTCCAAAACGGCTTAGGCCAATCACATCACTGCTATTTACAACTGGAACCAAAGTTTAAACGCTGACTTCTAGCGGCCAATCAGTGCTCGAGGACCAGATGGTGGCACTAGTACATTTTGCAACCAACCATGCTTTAGGATGTAAATAAAAAAATCAGATGGCAAGTTTCTTTTATTTTTTATTTTGTTTTATAGAATAGTGTTTTTTTTATGTATTAGAGATTAGTAGCCAGAGATGCAAAATGTTGTTTTATTTTCTATAATTTTTTAGTAATTGCACTCTAGCCCTCCAGGTTTAGCGGCCTGGGAAAGATTTTCATGACCCTTTAGCGACATTGGGCTCACCTCATAGAAACAAGCCCTATGAAATACTGTTAAAGGTTTCCTCTAAACAATTTTTTTGCCTAATTTGCATTAGGTGGGATTTTAGAAAGAAGCTATCATTTAGTATTTTATGGCAATTCAGCATGAACATCATCTTCCAAAAACCATCTTCCTCAGCCAGAATTTTAAAAATGACCCTTTTAACATCATGGTAGTTGCTTTGACATGGCTGCTAGTGTCAACATTAGTGATGGACCGAATCTGCCGAACTTAAGATTCGGCAAAGTTCGGCACATGCCAAACTTTTTAAGGAAAGTTCGGCGAAAATTTGGCAAAGATTCGGCAAATGTCTGCACACGCGTGAGAACGCGACAAGTCCAACAGGGCTATGGAGTGCAAATGGACGCCGTGCAGTCGTGCTGTTACCATTGTACAGTGCAGTACAACCAGCGGTCGCGCATCGAGTTGTGGAGTAGGCAACATGGTAATTGTGCATTTGTGAGCGAGTGTGGTTCTCTTCAATATTTTTTGCCGCATGAACAGATTGACCAGTAATTTACACAGTCCACTGCGCAAGTGACAAATGATGCGGTACATTCTGGATAACATGATTTAAATTTGACCTTTCCAGTGATGCAACAAGGTAGTTGAAACATTGACTGACAGTTACTTTAAAGCACTCCTCGCAATTATAACAATCCTGTTTTCGGCTCACAAGTAGTTTGTGCCAAAACAAAATAATATTGCTTTTTTATTATTATTTCGCGATTTTGATGTATCTGCACAAAACTGAACGCAGAGCTATCATGCTTGATGTTGCACATCCGACGTTCCCAACTCTTCCCATCTTCCTAAACGTCGGTGTGTTTAAACACCAGAAACTGGAATTTTAAAGGTTAAAAACGAGACGTTGCGAATATGGGACACACACTTTCATGCAAAGCTGACGTCAAGTGGCTCAAATCGGAAAACATGCATATTTACAATAATATCATCTTTTCTGTGAACAACTGTTGCATTCGTTTTCGCACACAAAACTGTAACTCCCAGAGAAAGTAAGAATGCAGTGTTATTGCAATTTATTTTAGCAATGCACAGAAACTTGCATTCTTATGCTGATGAGGCCTCAAAACAGACTCTTGTAGCGTGATTCGTGACGGCGCCGCTACCACCCAACCTTGTTGTCATGCCACTTCTGCAAGCAGTCACTAAAAACGACACCGATACAATTATCTTTTAGAATATCACCTTACATAGTAATAACTGTGTCAATATGCATTACAGATTGAATTTAAATTATGAAAAATAAATTGGAAAACCTTGTTTCTCCAGAAAAAAAAACTAAATATCAACGTTAAGTCTGGTAAGAATGTATTTTTGCCGAATCTTTAGATAAGTTCGCCAAAAGTTCGACTTTGCCGAATCCCAAAATTGGGAGCTGAATTTTCGATTCGGCAAAAGTTTGGCCCATCACTTGTCTACAGTAATTCTAAAGCATCCCTTTCCTTTCCAGGTCGAAGACAAAACCAGAGGAATTACTAGCATGGAGGTTCTCGCGGTTTTCTGCAAATAAAAGATGCGGGATATCTGTTCTTAAGTTCGGTGGAAATCAATTTCTAGCCATTGTTAGACATTTGCATGCAAGGAATCGACACAGTTTTCAAATAAACACACCCCAAGGTGAAACACACATTTGTTTTTTTATTACGCGGTCCCACTCCTTGCTAGTGCCCTGGCCCTGTAAAGAGAAAGACATGCTTGTAGTTGTCATTGCTTAACAGTCATGCAGTGACAGGCTAGTGGAGCGGTTTTGAGCCGAGCTTTATTTACAAGATGGTACAGCTAGCCTGCTGGGTGATAGTACCTCTGGGCACCGAATCAAAGAAAATGATGGCAGCTGTCACGAAGGCAATCAGAGCAAAGGACAAGGCGATAGCGGGGGCTGCCAGCTCGAAGGCGTCCACAGGCTCCGCTTCCCTGCTGCTGCAAGTAGCGAAAGGGCAGTGTCGTCCTTGTACACGGGATGCCAGGTAGGGCACGTTCGAATCTCGTCAATGCTATAGCGGTTGCAATCAATTTGTTGAACAAAGTTTCATCGACAGATCGTTGCTTAGACACACTGTTTTATTGACTGCTCCAATTAGCTCTTTTCTGTGACAAGCCGCGGTGGACTGCGTAGGTTAGCACGCACTCCAGTGATACATGCGTGACGAAATGTCCCTACGGCGAGCAATTAGCATGACAAGTGCCTATGAAATGCTAGTGTCGACAAAACGTATGTTCATGAAATGTTTGTCCACGAAACGTGTTTTGACAAAACGATGAGGACCCGTTGCTAGAGCCACTTCATTAACTATTCTTTAGAGTGACAACACTTGAGCCATCTCGGTGCTGAAAATCATTGTTGCCAGTTATCCGAGGCTTTATCGGAACAGGAAACAGGTTTCCGTTTCCTGTTCGGAACTACCAAAACTGTCCAAGATGGAGCAAGATGATGCCACTCGAGATCCCCTACACCATCCCTAAAGTTCGGGAAGTCTCATTTTCAAATGGTAACAATCGCCAGTTGTGCCGGCCCTGCACTAAGCACCAAAATGGCGGTGCACATTTAGTGACTGTTCAAGACCACCCAGACAAAACAAGGCCTGCTCGCTTCCTGCTCTTCATGAAACGGTACACTGCGATTCCTACGACTTGGCATTTCGGCCTTGGCCCAAAATGAAGCGTCCGCCAATGCACCGAGTCCTAGTCCTAGCCGAATGCCAGCGCACCACGGCGTCCAATCTGTGCTTATGGTCGGTCAAAGTGCGACGGCATCAACATTATACTGCGTGGACCTTGTCTGGTTCATTGTCTGTTGCAGCAGATAAGATCTGCTGGGAAAGGCTCTGCCCCCGAAATTCCAGCGAAAATTTACACCGCTTCGCTAGTACTCGGTAAAAATGTGCCATTTTCCTGGACTAACAATGGTACACTGTAGTATGTATGCTTCTATAACCACATACAGTTGGTGGGAAATAAACACTACACAGGTTCTTCTAAAATTTTTTAGGTTTTAAATATTTGTTTTAAATAAAGCTGTGAAAGCCAGTTTGTGCAGGTGAGTGTTATAGCCAGGTGTTGTAATATAGTGGGCTAATCGTTAGAAAGAAAAGATGGGCTCGCTTTCAAAACGCGGTGGCACGCTGAAGTAACCACTTGTGCAGAAACGCGGATGATAATCGCCGTGCGCCGAAGACAAACTAGCAGTGTGCTTATTTGTGTTTTGCACTGCCAGCTTTTGGCCAGTTGTACCAGAGGTAATGGTTTTAATGATGCTCAGCAAGTTTCTAATTGGCACCATATGTTTGATTTCACTTGTTAAAAGAATTAAACGATTTTATAGTTGGTGACAAGTTAAGAGTGAAGTGGAAGCTCCTCCCACTTCTCTCCACTTTAATAGAGCGAACGCTGGAGGGGAGGTCGCCTCCTCTCCAGCGTTTGCTCTACTAATGCGGAAAGAAGCGGGAGGAGCTTCCACTTTACTCTTAACCTGTCGTCGACTATAGTTGATTACCACACTTATCGTGATGATTTGCCAGTGGCTGTATCACTCACCTGCTGAGACCACATTTCTATATCTAAAAAACATCCCTCCCCCCCAAACGCGATGAAATGCGGTTGCTTTACAGGAACATCGTTAGTGAAAACAATTAGGAAAGAAAATGGTACGATGATGAATGGTTGTAATATGCTGTGCACACATCGAGAACGGCGTCGAGGACAATATCGGAAACAATGTCAAGAACAACGTCGAGGACGACCTCATGGACGACGTCGTAGAGACCGTCCTCAAGGACGACCTCTAGGACGACGTCAAGGATGGCATCTAGGACAACCTCTAGGATGATATCAGGGAGAACGTGTCAAAGGTCGACGTCAAAGACGACCTCTAGGACCACGTCGAGGACGACGGGTCACGTCAGCTTACGCAACAGGCACTTACGAGACCAACGGTGAAGCCATGGGCATTACGTGACCTTGGTGACGTGATCTCAGTGTGGTTAAACCTATAAAACTACCGCTTAAAAAAGAACAAAAAAGAAAAGCCAAAACTTCGTATAGTTAATGGAAGTGACTGCTTGACGATATTTTGCACCTGTTGCTGTGCTTTTCTAGTCGGAAGTAGGCTCCGTGTAGGCGGAGTTTTGCTTCTCATGGGCGAAGCCTCCAGTAGCTCTAATGATGAGCCATGGCGGGGATGTTGTGCATCATATGTTGGTCTAGATCGATGCAATAGTACCCCATTCGCACAGTCAACCTAAAAGCAATCGGCGAATTAGCCCACGGTCGGGGTCCCATCTGCGACGTCACAACCAGGATTATGCGCGACAATTTCGACGGTGTCCAAGAAGCACGGCAGAAGCTTGGTGTCATTGCGATTCAATACGGCGCACAAGAGACTGAAGACGAAGTAGATGGGTGTACACAGGACAAGCGCCTGTAAGCAACATCATTCCACACCATCATGGCCAATTCGGTGCGTGTCGAGATAACATGTCTCTTTGCTATGTATAATGACCGATGTTTGGCTTACGCATTGACCAGTCCCTTCTTTTTGATCGTGTGGGCCTCTAAAATTTCTCTAGTCATCTTGTCCTGTGTACACCCTTCTGCTTTGTCTTCGTTTCTTGTGCGCTGTGCCGAATCCACTAATTATAATATCGTCACAAGTTACACCTGGAAAAAATAAGCGTGTATCATCTGCGTAAATTGTGAGTTTGGCGTTTTGATTGATTAAAGCAATGCCATTAATGTACCTATTAAGAGGGAGGGGGCCAAGTATACTGCCCTGTGGAACCCCCGAGAGGATAGGCTTCACATGATAGGAGGATCTATTTATATAAACATACTGATGTTGATACTGTAGGTATGACCAAAATAATGACGGAGCTTGTTCTCGCATACCTAACAGGTTGAGCTTTTTTTTTTTAAGAACCCGTGGTTTAAAAAATTAAAAGCTTTTGTAAAGTCGACAAAAATTTCAAGAACCATCCTTTTTGCTTGGAAGTTACTCAAAATCAATTCTTTTTGTGCAAGAAGCACCGATTCAGTTGAACAATTTTTATGAAAACCGTATTGGCAAGTCGTTAATACATCGTGCTTATTAAAAATATGGTTAAATGTTTATGAAGTAGCTTTTCTATTCCTTTCGGAAGATATAGGAGAATCGATATTGGCCTATAATTATTCAGATTGTTCTTGTCACCCTTTTTATGTATCACAGATACCTTTGGTGTTTGCATGTGCTTAGGGAAGACACCAGCCTCGAAACATAGGTTGAAAACATGAGATGAGCACGGGGTTATCAGGTCGAAAACATATTTTATAGGTTGAGCTTGAACATCGTCATAATCACACATACTGCTGTTTTTCAGTTGTGAGTACACGGAAATTACCCCACCATCAGCCACTGGATATAAAAAATGGAATCATTTTTGGTATTTCCTGTACCAGAAGTAGTTGTTTGCCGGGCGATGCTCACGAATAAACGATTAAAGGAATTGGCCAAAGAAGTCCCGGACAGCTGCTAGCCCCCGATATGAAGTGTATCAATAGCATCTTATGACCAGCTACGATTTGGTTACGAATTGATTTTCTTACAGGTGATATTCGTTTTATCAGCAGTCGACCTAAACGATTTATTGAAGTATGACGCTTTGGAAGAGCGCACTTTCTTTTTATCCTTATTACGAAAAGTCTTGAATGTAGGTCACTTGTGCCTCTGCTTTTTATATACTTCTGATATAACACGTTTTTTATATGAATTTGCTCCAGCGTAATTCTGCAGTAATCCATGGTTTATGCGTTTTTCTTGAACGCTAAAATTATAGAAGGGGACTTATGTACACATCGGAAGTTTTTTATGAACACGTATGCCATGTCAACATCTTTTAACTTAAAGGGGCACTGACACATCAAAATCATATTTTTTTTTATTATCCGAAACGATCGAAAACGATGCCGGGACATTACCCTCAAAATTTGAAATTTGGGAATTCAGTATTCGTGAAGTAAAAAAACAATTTCCAAATGCCGAATTCGAAGTTCCCGCGCGATCGGCGCCGGTGCCTTGACGTCAAAAATTGGTGAGACTTGAGAGTCCACTTTTTTTTCTCCACTCCCTGCTGTTGCCATGGCGACCCAAAGCGAGGAGGAAAGGAGCGAGCGCCGGCTCGTTGCGGCGGACCGGTTTTGAGCGGTGTCGCCTGTTTTCCGTTGGAGGATACCAATCCAGGAGACGGCACCACAACGAACTCCCGATTTTTGGTATTTCAAAAAGAAGGGCTGTAGTGCGTTCGCAATTGCGTTAAAAAACATGTTTTAGGATTGCCGTAATTAAATGTTATAGAGATGTCGCCTACAAAGCTTCTAAATTTCCTGATTCTTGACGTCACCGATCAAAAGAAGCGAGGAGGCGAGAGGCGGGAAAATCAAACGCCAAAAATAAAAAGGCGCGCGCGGGCCCGGGAAAATTTTTTTTCGCGGTGCGGTTTTTTTTGCGTGTCTATGACTGCAACTTACATCGTTTTAGACAATAAAAATAAATACGACCTT